AAAAAACTTAACTACAGGTCTAAACAATTTAGAAAACAATTTTCAAGGTAAGTCTAATATTATATTATTATCAATTTGTAAATATCAGATGAAGATATTTCCCAAATTATGTTCAATATTAACAATACTTCCAATTTTAATATTGTGATTAACAAGATTAAACATATGTAATGACTTACTTTTTAGCCCACTCATTATTCATTCCAGACTCATTTGAAAAACTCTTAACCATGGATATCTTTTCAGGATTTACATTAACATCGCTGATCACATTTATAGGCACTCCAGTAGACAATTGATTTACAGACAAGGAGGCAGGAGTTGACGGTGATATTGTGTTAAACATAGGAAAAGTAGCAATTGACTGCTGTTGTGAGTCTAGTTGGAAACTTAGAGTAGCAGAAGGTGATATTTGTGAGATATGTGGAACGGATATCTGCATACCTTTTTGATATGGTAATAGCTGTTGTGGATTCATAGAAACATTCATTGGTAAAGGCTGGTAAGATGAAAATGTGGGTTGCTGAAAAGAAGATAGTGGTAGGTAGCTGGGTGTGGGTGAATGTTGACAAGATGACAAAGATGATTCCATGCCAGCCATTTCATCAGTATCCTCCATAAACATTGTTACATTTTGGTTACTGTTGTAATTGGAATTATTTATTTCTGATGATTTTGGTTTGAAAACATGAAATCGTTTAGAAGATTCCTGAAATTTAAAATATTTATATTATAGCATACAGTATGATTCTTTATCACTAACCACTCAACATATTAAATATCTAATATTTTATGAAAATCTTCTAAAAATATTTTGCTTTAGAATATGTATTTAATGCATGTTGTTCAAAAGTTAAAATATATTTTATTTTTATTTTTACTGTGAAGGAAGATTCTGTATTTAGAACATGTATATATGTGGTGAGAATTTGTCACTAAAAACCCAGATGGTCATCCATCTAGGAGCTAGCGCCTAGCAACACCGCCCAATTTTTGATCTCAGAACATATTAGTAACTGAGGCCAACCACCATGTTATATTAAGTTATTAAAAATATATATTTTTTAAGACATTGTTATTTTTAATTGAAATCATGCAAGAAATTTTTTTTTTTTTAAGTGGTTCATGATAAAACATTCACCTACTATGGTTAAATTCAAAACATAAATTAAATTACTAATAATAATTCTTCAGTGACTATTGTTATAAAAAACATATCGCTAATTATACTCCAACCATTTCCAACTGGCACTATACAGAATGTTCTACAGAATGATCGGAATACATGCTTGTAATTTGTTTCTTTAAAGTCTTCAGAAAACACACCATTGAGTACAATCTGAACCATTGCAGTCTGGAAAAAAATTAAAACAAAATTATACATTAAAATATAATTATTCATTAATATTGCTTAAAATACAAATATTTTTATTTATTTTTTTATCATTAAAAAGTGTAATTACAACCTATATATAAACGTTTATACAATAGGTAATTTTTATAACAGTTTAAAGTAATAAGAAATTACCAAGTTGAAAGATATTGAGAAGTACCGTCCTACTAACTCATATTATTAAAAATAATTTTAATAGCAAGGTACTCACAGTTGCCAAAGGAACATCAACTATGAATGAGTCAAGATCATGCTTGGTTTTAGGTAATTCGTCTAAACAGTTAATTATGTTTTCTTTGCCTTTGTGTAAAAAATGACGTCTTCCTTGTTTGTGTCTGTTAGATTTTAAGAAATTTCTACTTTCATGTAAGTATTGTGATAAATTTCCTTTAATACTAAATTTAAATAAAATTTAAATTATTTAACAGAAATACTTAAATAAATATTTTTAATACCCATAAATAATATACCTACTGTTTAAATAGAAAACCACTGGATAATGTAAATGTAGCATTTTCATGGTAAGCATTTGAAACCATTTGTCTGGACACTTGATTATCATACAGTTCATAATAAAGAGTGAGAAAAGATTCAACTAAGGTCATCACAGGATTTGGCAGTTCAGAATTATGACCTTCTGGTACTGGGTAACAATTACCCAAGTTAATTGGCATTTTGAACTTGGATCTTATCGCACTGTACCGAGATGGTAGTTCTGAGTTATCCTGAAAACAATTAAATAACATTACCCTACATTCTAAATATAACAACTTAATAAATATATAGAGGATTTAAAATAAAAAAATTTCTCTTGTTAAGTACTAAATTCACTCTTGCTGATAAGGTAATAAATCAAAAATCTAAATACTTCTTTTAACTCAAATATAGATCATAAATTACTTTGAATTAAATTTACTGATTGACAGATATATATAAATACATTTTTTATTGCTTTTCAATTATAATATGTATTATTATTATAAATAAACTTTTTATTCAACAAAAGCTATGAGATCAAATCATTTTGTTTAATTAAATGCATAAAAAAAAAAAAAAACATCGAATAATTTATTTGTTGATATAACACCTATTAAAAATACATAAATACATGCTTTAATATGTCAAAAATATGTACAAGGTTCAAGTTCTATGAAACAACCATAAATCAAATGCATTTTTTTTAAATGTATCAAAGTAATTTCAACTCTTTACATTTAAAATTCAAACCAGGTAAGATGTACTTACTTTAGACATTTTACCTCACAATACACCAAAAATAATTAAAATACTGTTAAACTAGTACTCTAAAAACATCAGTCTTCTAATTCTTTTTCCAACATTTAGCATTCAAATGAAATAAAATTGAACAGATAACACTTACCAACTTAGTTAGCATAGGAAAACATTGTTGTACATCTCTAAAACAGATATAGTATAAATATATATTGAGTGATGTTAAAACTGAAGCATTAAAAATATATGTGTATAAATATACCGCTTGTAATGCTTTTTGTCTTTGATATCGCACACAGGATTTCTTGATAAGTTCAGCACTTCAATAGTATAACCAGAGAGACACCTTAGTTCTTTTAAATCAGAAAACTGTAATAAAAATTGTTTAGTATTTATTTTGTTTAAAAAAAAAAGTGAAAAATATAGAACACATTACTTTGTTCCCAGCCAAATCCAACACTTTCAGTTCAGGAAACAATCTACGTATCCATATAAGTCCTTCACCTAAATAAATATGATTATTTTCAAGACTCAAACCATACAAATCATGTTTGGTATGTTGAGCAGCCATATTGAGTGCTACCAAAAGAACTGCTGGTCGATTTAATGGTACAAACAGTTGATTATTGGTAAATACTATAATAAAAATAAATATATATTTAAACTGTAATTAAATTAATATAAAATAATCCATTAAGTACATGGACAAGCATAAAAACGTGACAAATCCAAACTCTTGGTACTGCCATTGTAACGGGTTGCCATAGCTTCTATCATTTTTCCCCTTATTTTACTGGATACTGGTGTGAATGATATTGCACCACGTGGAGGTGAATATAATAACACTTTTATAATTAACTAAATACAAATATTTTTGTTAAAATCCATTTTTAAAACCCTAAAACTGAATAATTTCAACTTACTTTTCGATCATCTCTTAGTGTTATCTTATAACTAGTGTTGTGCAATGCTTTAGCAACTTTATAATCATCAACAAGAAATCTTAATGCATTATCAAAATATTGTTTCTATAAAATAAATATTGATAATTTTAATACTTTCTATTAGAATATTAATAGCATATAAATAGCATACATTATATGGATAAAATTCAACAGGTGCAATATAATTTTGGATTATTTGTAAGACTTCATCACTATCTTCAACATTGGGTACCTTAAAAATAAAAACAATAATAATTCAAATACGTAAAATTCATAAATTAAAAATTGAAACTTACATATACTGAGTACCATCCAGTACTACTTTCTTTTAAAGACCGTGAGTTTCTGAAGTTACCATGACCATTACGATTATGATTTCTATTAGGAAAAGACCTATTGGATTACATATTCATGGCTATATTGAATTTAAAAGCAATAATAATTCAAAATTCAAAATATTTACCGTCGGCCAGTATTATTTTTAGGTGGTCTACTTCGATTAAAAAATTCACTATCCAAATGATCACGAACCAGTTCAGTTTTATTATCCCAACTTTTACGAAAATGATTACCTCTGCAGTTATTTGCTTTGAATGTCACCTTTTTAGTACAACCGTAATGATCTGAACACCCATCACCTCCTCGACTAGTGCTAGGCCTTGAATTTTGATCATCATATTCATTTCCTATAATTTAGAAATCTAATGATGAATAAGAAAGTGATTAGATTAACGCATTTTGTGTGAAACTGTATACAAATGATTTAAATTTTCAAACAAATTTGTACGTTTACTTATTAGTTCATACTATTTATGAATGAAAACCTTTTTTATTTGTTAATCAAAAAGTTAGATATCTTAGATAAATTATTTAAATTATAACTGATATTTTAAATTAAAAATCGTAGTATGATTTTTCTCCGACAAGTGCACTGTATTTTTGTTAAACCACTATCCAAGGAAAATTAGAAAAAATGTTATTATGGTATATTGTGGAACAACAATAATAATGAATTTTGATAAAAACAATTTTTCATTAATTATTTGCAATTTGCTCTGTTTGGTTATCGCTGTTTTAAATTGATGAGTGACGTCATAGGTTTCATCGGTTGGTCGCCCGCCTATTTTAATACATCCATTTCCTAAAAAAGTTTTTATTCATATATTTATATACTAACTTAAAATACTCAAAATGAAAAACGATTTTCATATTACAAAATCTTAAATATTTTCCTACGACCTAATACTAACATCTTATTATAACAGTAGCGTATTTACGGGTGGAGGGGGGGGGGTCAAGGGGATAAATCCCCCCATAGGCTGTGTACACAAAAATAAATTATAGTCTTCATATTATTTAAAAATTATTATTTACTTATTTATTTTTTTTATCAATAATTGATTAAATTTACAATAATTAAAATATTATAATATATTGTACAATATTCTCATTGGTATCTTTATTTATAAAGTTATATCCCCCCCCCACACACCATGTAAAAACGTAAATACGCCACTGTATTATAATAATACATTTTAAAGTAGAAAACGTTTAATTTATCTATAATTTATTCATTTTTTCGTTTGTTAACATTTAACTAATAAATCATCAGCTAGCCGTGTTTTATAATAATTATAATAACCACCACTTTCCAATGTTTTGACTGCCTTTTTAGTTATTTGTTGTTAAGTATATATATTAATAGAAAAAAAAAATGTATAAATTATACATAAATTAACCATTTTCTAACTTTAATATGTATTATTTTGATAGAATGTTGGAATCAGGTTGTAGGAAAATAGTTAAATAAATGAATATGTGTCGAAGAAATACGTGTATTAAAATAGACAGGAAGTCAACCAACGGAATCTGTGACGTCGTAAGTCACGTGTCATTTTAAAACGGCTATAACGATCGAATAGAATGATGGTTAATATTTTTAACAGTATCCAATTTTGAATAACTAAGTATTTGAAACAACAAATAAAACCTTACAGAGAATTTATATAAAAAGTGTTTAGACTTGAGCCTAGCGTTATTAAAATTGATTAAAACGGTATCATGTAATATAATATTGTATTATATAGGTAGGTATCTAAGGAGTGCCGAACGGTATATTTCAATATCGTGTTCGAATGAAAACAGCGAGTACGTTAATAGTAAAATTTAAGTTAATCAAATTTTAAATAATTCATAGTTTTCCGAGCACTTTACCATTAAACCCTTCAATATAATCGTTGATTTGTCAATTTATATGGTATACTTACGAGAATTGAAATAGTGAAATCTGTCGTTAGTATTACGTTTTCGTGATCTACCAGTCATCGCGTTTAGTAAATCATCGATACTTTTGGCACGTGTACAGTCGAAAACAGACGTCAAAACTAAGACTGTAGGATAAAATGTGTATAAAAATTAGAAAACTTATTATTCGTCTAAAAAACGTCTAAAGAAAACAAGAATTAAAACACTGCGGGTTGCACACATAGTAGTTAATATTAGAATGGATAAGACCACACTACCACAAAGGCACAGAATAATATTGAAAGTGAAACGACACACGATCAGCTGGGCGGTCTACAACTGTCCCCTATGGTATGAAGTATAGGATTCTAAAAGTTAAAACCGTATCCGTAATCTGACTAGATGTTGGTAATGTAAATCCCTATTTGTTACTATAATATAAAAACGGAAACAATCCATAACCCGCGTGATTTCCGCGGATCTTATATAAAAAAACATTGCTAGAAACGAGCAAATTTAGAATTGCAATAGTTGAATTTATTTATTATTATTCGGTATTCTTTCAACAGTTTTAACTAATTTTCAACAATATATTGTTCTGTAAAAATATTGATATTATTTATTTAAGTGATAACGTATGCAACACTCCTCAGAGACCGTGGTGTTTAAGGCCAGTGTTGCCTGATTTGGTCAATATCAGACAGTGTCAATACCTGCTAATATCTATCCTATTGACCCATTATAGACGATTTATACGGTATAAGGTCTGTGGTTATAACCCAAGTTTTATTGATAATATTATTATCTAAATACAGGTCTCGTAAGTCGTTACTTGTTAGTTGTTAGACGTTAATCGAAACGAGATTAGGGAAAGGAATCATTTGGATTAATGATTTGTTCGGTTTATTTATAACTTAAAAATAATCAATTTTCTTGCAATTTAAATTTTGAAATCAATCTTTATCCCTACTGCAGTATTAATTCATAAAATTCGTTGTCGAAAAACACAATAATGAATACAATCAAAATCGATAAAATGATAAGTATGTACCTATAATTAGCCAGTTAATAAGTACATCATATTGTATTGCATATTATTATGAATTGTTATGATACACGTGTGTAATGTGTATTACTTTAGCGTTGCGCAATTTCCAAGCCCGTTCGGATTAACGAGACCCTACTGTACATTTCTATAAACTATAGGTAGTATAGAAGTCTGTGCATCTTACCCATAGAGCTTCCTCTACGGTTTAACATCTACAGCCTAAACCATGGCTAAATAACATGGTATGTTGTCAAAATCAACTATGTTAATGCTGTTATACGTATCTCGTTGATATGTCAACGTATATATGTGTTCCGTCAAAGGTTGTAATAGTGGTAGTCGTAGTAAAGCATTCCAAAAAACTATTCCCACACCACGTCTTTTTAGCTTTCCGAAAGATAGAGAGTTACAAAAGAAATGGATTGATTTATGTGGAAAAGGAGATCAGATAAATGTTAAAGGGGGTAAGAAAACATGTAAATTATTAAAATTAATATTATACAGTGACTGCATATATAATATATATTATAAACCTATACATGATAATTAATATGTTTCATTTCTATAGAAGAAGGTAAATAGGTAATTAAAAATATGTTTTAGCTATGGTATGTTCATTGCATTTTGAAACTACAGATTATGTTAAACCACTAATTCAATTAGTTCTTGGTTATTCTCCAAAGTGTCAACGCACGCTTAAACCAAACGCTATACCCTCCAAACACATGGTAATTGGTATATTTGTTTAAAAATAATAATTGTTTCTAACAATTTATTATATCTAAATTTTTTTTATGTTTAAAAATTTAGCAAGGATTTAATAAAAATCCAAAATATAGAAGTCCAAACATTAAAAATTCTCCATTTTGTGTTGAAACATTAAGTTGCGAAGACACTCAATCTGTAAGAATATATTATTGAGATGTTATTATTATTTATATTACATACATAGGTAATATTATATCAAGTAGATATTTAAAATAATTAATTCAATTATTCATTTTCAGTTTTCTGTTGCAAATAAAATGTCATCCTTAAAGTCAAATGAATTAAATGAATTGGAAAACATAGAACTGCAAGTTGCTTCAAAAGTACCATTTTTATAATATTATCCCATTCACATACCAATAATAATAACACAATACTAATTTGTTTAAAATTTAATTGATTCTTATTAGCCTATAAACAAATGTCTAAAGTCCAGTCCAGCTTGTAAACGCACATTATTTGCATCTAAATTAGAATATGAGACAGTTAGGGAAGCAGATAGTTATAGTACTACAAATTAGGGTAGTGATCAAACTGAAGTTAATATGTAAAGTATATTATTAAATACGTATTAAATAATAATTGCCAATACATTATACATAATACTTCTTAAATATTTTTAATTATAGGTTAAGAGAACAATTACTTCAACACATACAAAGTCTGGAAGAAATTAAAAAAGAAAACAAGTTTTTAAAGAAGTCTGTAGAATTACAAAAGAGTGTAATAAATTCAATTCCTAGTAAAGCTAAGAAGACTAAGGAATTTGAGTTAAAGTGCCATAGTCTTCTGTCAGGAATGTTTACTACGACCCAAATTAATTTAATTCTACACCCAAAAAAAAAGTGTATAAATGGTCAGAAGAAGACATTGCCAATGCCATTACTCTTAGGAGTCTTTCTCCAAAGGCTTATAGATATTTAAGAGGTGAAAAAAAGTATCCTTTACGGGTGAGTCTAACAATTAATAATATTAAAATAATAATTTAAATACTTAGTAATAAATAATACCTAATAATGTGTAAATAGGTCTTTCCACACTAAGAATTTGGGCTTCAAAATTTGATTTAAATCAAGGTCTCTTGTACAGTGTACTAAACATTATGAAACATAAGGGTACTTATTACAATAATTTTTTTTTAATAAACAAAAAAATTTATTTTTCATACATAAAAAAATAAATATTAATACAGGTAAATCTGTGAATGTTAAAGAAAGATTAACTGTAATCTCTTATGATGAAACATATTTGTCACAAAAAGTGTGTTATGATAGAAAAAAAGAACAGTTTATTGGTCCTCATAAAACAGTCCAGACTGTTGTTGTAAGAGATAAAATAGAGCTAAAGAAAAACATATTGTATTCAAATAATTCTTATAAAAATAAATAATAATATTATTATAGGGCTTATTGGTAAATGGAGGCAGCCTATATTTTACAAGTATGACACTCCAATGACATCACAATTGTTGAAAAATATCATTGAAGAATTATTTAAAATAGAATTTAATGTAGTAGCCATGGTTAATGATATGGGACCAACCAATCGTACTCTGTGGAATGCATTGGGAATTTCTTTAGGTCAAACTTTTTTTCAACATCCAATTACATTGAAGAAAATTTTCATATTTGCTGATGCCACACATTTGATTAAGTTGGCAAGAAATCATTTTATTAAAAGGTACAAAAAATTATTTAAGTACCTAATGAAATGTCATTCCTAAAAACTAATTTTTAGTGGATTTGTACTTGAAAATAACAAGTTTATTGGGAAAAATGTAATTGAAGAAGTTATGAATTTATGTCCAAATGATTTGAAATTAGCCCACAAATTAACTGAAAGTCATATCAATGTATCAAGTTATTATACATAAACGTGTGCGCGACAAGAGGCGAATATAACCATATAATATATACGAAAATATACCTCAGATGTAAATATATAGTAATGTACGCGTATATATATATATATATATATATGTATGTATATATGCACTCGTACATCACACAGACCGATTACAAAGATCCGAACTCCTGTCGAGGACACACGAACGACTTGCGGAGAGTGCAATAATCCCTTTTATATTGTCGGACTCGACTCTTCGCGTACATCTCCCGACGAACACTCGAAACGTTACGACCCGAGCTTGTGTGATGTATACACACGCATTATACTATCGTAACGATAACTGTTTTTGGAAATTTTCTCCGCGATCAGACGCACCCGTGTTTACGATGTCTAATCACGATCGTTCTGACGTACCCCAATATCGTTCGCGTCCCTCGTTGTCAATCATACACACATATACACGTATATGTCATATATACTACCATGCATTTGTGCACACACAACGATACAGTTGAACGTAATTATTATTATTATTTTGCTTCTCCTTCTTCGTTAACATTGCACTGTACATCCGTTTGATCTCGTGGGGTGTATGCAACGACAATCCTTTTTATAACACAAGTACGTACCTAATAACTTACTCGACCGACGGCAGCAATCGCACATTTATCATCGAAGTGTATATATAATATTAAATATAATATATATTACGGAGGAACGGAAATGGCTCACGCTGTTAAATTGCGCTTAAGCTCCGGGAGCAGCGGTAGTGGCGGTGGTTACCGCGGTGTGCTCGGAACGGCATGTCGCGACGTTAGGACAGCCGTAACCGTCAGCATCAATATTACAAATCACCCCAACTCTGATACGAAAAGGAATTAAAGAATTCCTTTGGTCACCAGTACAATATAAATCTAAGAAAAGCATCATATATTATATGCCAATTTATATCATCGATCCCATATGTCTTTCGGAAACCTTATTAATCGTAACAGTCATAAAAGCATACTTAACAATACCGTAACTCCGTTATGCTACGTTACACGCAAAAACACAGAAATCCATCCCAGAGCCACAATCAATGCACTATTTTTAATCTTCCGAGATTTGTGAGATTGTGACACGAGACAAGTGAAGAGCCATCCAATCCAATCAAGAACGACAAGCAAGAAGAAACAGAACCGAGACGGCGACATTCCAGCTATAGTATCTAAGCGTTGTGTAAGCAACGCAGACAAGCGTGCAGCACACTACGGAGTATACCTATTATTTATTTATTCGTCCCTATTCCTATAATAGTCTTAGCGAGGGTACAGGGTACGACAGGTACGTAGCAACACTGTACGCTCAGCTCAGGGTCCATTCTCCAACCATATCGGTGTTCGGGGTGCGTCCAGTGCCTAGCAGTACAGTACATTCGGTCATCCTTATCTGTTAATCTATATATAGGCGCTTACATAGTTACGCAACAGTGCTATATATATTGCACAGTCATTATATATTGAGGCTATTCACGAATAGCGAATATAGTAATATATTTAATAATAATAAATCGCCCATTATTGTAACGCGAAATATATTAAGTATTCCGAATTATGTCGCGTTTTCTATGATATATAAAGATGATTTGAATGTATGTATTTTTAATTATTAAAATATAAAAGTTATAATACTCTGTTACAAGCCTATGCACTGAATATTATTTTTTTAATTCTTCTTTTGGTTCGATACCAAAAACTGTGACTCTTACAAATGTTCTTTTTAGAGATATCTTCCATTTTGTATTCATCAAACAATACATTTAAATTAAATTCAGAAAGTTCATCTAAAATATTAAGATAAAACAATTGTTTAAAAAAGATGTTGATAAGGTTAAATATTTATTATTTTTAATTACCGCTAAGATCAGACAAATACTTTTCGATGCTCTCTTCTTCTAAAAAAACATAATATACGAAAAACAATATTATTATTCTACAATATTGATTACAAATATACAAGTGTGAAAGATGTAGATGTGTTTTTTATGCAAATATTTAAAATTATTATGGTTCAAATATTATTATTCACGAAAAAAAAATTTAAAAATAATAACCTAATAATTTCTCCGATTGATTTTTCAAAAGTTCTACATTTTGTTTCTTTAATTTACTTATTTTGTCTTCTAAGTTTTTTAATGTTATTTTCATTTTATCTAAAAAATGGAAGTAGAATAATTAGTTTATAAATATTATTTTGATTCTATATTTTGTGTTACCGTTCGGTTTCATAGAGCCATTTTTTTCATTTTCCAAATCTAAAAAAATATATTATATGAAAAAACAAAATTAATATATTATATTATCGATTACAATTTATAACTAAACATGTGTGAAAAGTGTAAATGTGTATTACATGTATACATTTAAAGTTATATTTTTTTAAATATTATAACACAGAATAATAATTTTAAAATATTAACCTCCTGTTATTTTTCTAATTTGACGTTTACTGGTGGTATTATTTTCTTTTAATTTCTCTATTTTGCTTGTTAATTGATGATTAACTTTTATTAATTCATCTGAAAATTTTAAAATTCAGTATAGTAAGTACTCGTAAGTAAGTTCATTTGAGTAAATTTTATAAAAATGTTGAGAGGTTTTTATGTTTGTTTTACCAATAGTATGGGTTAACTTCTGTATCTCTTCTGTTTCTAAAAAAATATAATAATAAATTTAAAAATATTATTTATATTTACAAGTAAGAAACCTTCCAGCAAGACGTTTTACTTATCATTTGTTGATTTAAAATGAAGAAAAGTTGTACAGTGTCGAGTTTCATTATAGAGATCACGATCCGTGATAATATTATATCGTGTTTGACCACATTCTGGCATCACACGGCAGTATATTTGAACTCTCCAATCATCATGTATGTAAGAAAGTTTTAGTTAATAATAATTAAAATAAACTTGTAAATTGTATACCTAATAATCTAGCGCATCGCGCGTTTACCAACATGTACCTATGTATTCCTAGTTTAAAGTTTAAACGATAAAACACATACCATTGGGTGCTGCTCGGATATGCAGTCTACCGACGGGACGCGGTCTACAAACATGTATGTAGACCGCATATCTGAGCAGCGATAAAAAAAAAACATTAAAAAATAAAATTGACCCAAATATAATTTGTTGTAATATAATGTATACCTACGATATAGTTTTGTATTTTCCGCCTATATTTATTGTTGGGTACTAAAAGACAAAATCACTGATATAGTGATATACCACAGTGTGGTAGTGTATTTAATAAGTTTGTTAGTAACCGAACAGCCGTCGATCAGTAACCTAACCGTGTATTAGTGCATATCATCATGCAATTAAAAGAGTTCTATTCGACCGTCGCCTATAGTGAAGAAAATGCCACTGCATTTTTAATGGAGCATGGCTTATTAGACACTGCCAACGAAACGTTACCATGCCATAAGTGCGGTAGTGAAATGGTAAATACTAAATAGTAGAAAACGCGATAGCCGGGGTGAATTTCGTCCGGTTTTTCGGTGTAAAAAAAAAAGGGTGTCAGACTTCGCACAGTGTACAACAAAGCAATAAATTTTTTCACTATGAGGACTTGAACAAGTCTAATAGTAAACTAAAACTGACGGAAATATTAGAATTGGTTTTTTTTTTTTTTGTATTGGACATACCTTTAAGAACAACAGCCACCCTAACAGGTAGATGCTAGGAGACAATTACTGACTGGTTTAATATGTATCGTGAAGTATGTTTAAGTATTGTTCAAAAACAACCAACGATGCTGGGAACTGTCATATACTATATCAAATACAGATTGACGAGGCAAGATTTGCCGAAAAAAGGAAATATAATTGTGGAAGGTTACTTAATGGTAATCAACCCGCTTCATCAGAAGACAGTGATGCTGAACTACACAACGGTAGAAACCATGGACGAAGAGTCGATGGACCTTGGGTTTTTGGGCTTAAAAATGGTTCTGACTGCCGATATTTTTATGTTCTACGAAGAGACAAAAACACATTACTACCAATTATTCTACGAGTATGAATCTGGTTCTGTTATTCATTCAGACGAGTGGTCAGCCTATAAATGTTTGAAAAATAATGCGGATATATTCATAACACTGTTAACCACCAGCAAAACTACGTTGATCCTTTGATGAAAGCTCACACTCAGAGCATAGAGAGATCATGGTTAGATGCAAAAACGAGAATCATGAAAACAATGAGAGGCACAACAATGCAATCGCATTTCGACCACTATTGTTGGAAAGTTGCTAGAAAAGAAGAACCTGATTTATCTATTGCATTTTTGAGGGACATTAAAGCAGTTTATCGTTAAGGTTTTATACATAAAATTATTTTTAATATTTTTTACATAATTTTTAATTTTCTTAGTAAGATTTTTAAAATCTTTGTCACTCATCCGATTGTTTTGATTTTTTTTTTTTTTAATGAAAGAGCATAATGTATATCGTGGACCAAGTTCTAGGCTATTATTAAAATTTTATAAATTAATTGAATAATTATTTCTTTATAAATGTTTATTTATCAATATTAACTCCGCGCAATGTTGAAAAATAACACAGACGTCGAAACGTGTTAGATATGTCCAATCGCTATGAAACTTTGGAAAACTGTATAATGATGTTAACATAACTTGACAGTTGACACCACGTCACCGCGTGACTTAAATGATAAACTTTAAATATTAATTATTATATTCAAGATGAAAAAAAAATTCCCATAAAATTTGGTCGTAAAATAATTTAAAAGTAATAATATTATGGAAATTGCTACAGCATTTTGTGAAGCAATTGGAATATTATATTTTCAATTTTTTTTTTTTTTTTTAGTGGTGGACACAGCTAATTTTAAAATTGTATTTCACCATTTTCATACCTAGAACCAAATAAAAAACTTGAATAAAAAAAAATAATCATATTATATTATATGTATTATAGGTAAAATCAAGTTTCAAAGAATTCGTTAAACCACTTACCTTAATTATTACTAAACAAAATCTTAGAATTGTGTTTTAAAAAATATGACTAATCTATACATTTTACAGATAATAATAAAATATAAATTATAATTACAATAAAACGCTTATTTTTATAGTGTTTACAGCATAAAAAAAAATTACTACCTTACACAAAGTGGAAAAGCTATACCTACACTTTTACTTTTTGTGCAGAACGGCGAGTGAAATGAAGTTTTTAAAGATTATACAAATTTATTCAATTTTTTATACAAAAGACCACCACCTCTCTTTATAAGAACGTTTTATAATATAAGGAAGACCTGTGCTAGAGTTAGGTGGACGATTAGAGGGATATCTGCAGACACGTTTAGATGAGGCAGCTCGTAACAACACTCACCTTCTTATATCTTACTCTTAGACATTGTATTTTTGTATTCTAAGATAACATCAAATAAAGGCTTATTTTCTATACTTAATACATCACACGTTATCATTTCTGGGTCAGAGTCGGAACGTAACAACAATAATTAAGCATGATGTTAAACACTCTAAGATGCGTCGCGCTGTGTTTAAATGAATTATCTACAACGATTTCAATTCCATCGTTATCTTTAACATTTATCTATTAATGCGTTTAACACACTGTGTCACTGTACCTAATTTCAGTATTACATGCATAAAGGTAATGGATAAAACCGCAATTCCTAACTCTTAATAATGTAATAATTTAAAATAATTGAACCAATCCTATTCGTATAAGGTCAGCTATGGCTTGCTTTATAATAAATATGTATACCGTATACGTAATAGATAAGATACATGTATGTACAGTATACATGTACAGTGCCGTAGCCAGAATATTTGAATAAGAGGGGTTTAAGGTTTGTACCAGGGATAGATGACTCAAAATTGTAATGGGCCAAGACATAGAAAGCAAAAAAATAATATATCATTTAAAATATACATTTTAATTAGAATTATTTTGTTTATACAATATACTTTATAATGCAAAAATATTTGAACTTCATTACATTTACCACAGTCTTCTTGTTTTTATCACTTATTTACTGAACCCCAAACCCCCCTGTTTATATATAATGAGATTATTATGTTTATAAAAGTAAAAAGTTATGGTCTTGTATTCTTGTTAGTAGTAATTAAGGCTAGGAATATGTAGCCATGTAGGCACTTTTTTTCATAGTACTCCAAGACAAAATTTGCATTACAGAATTTAATAATTATACAATGTGTTTTTACATTTTCTTATATTTGTAAATTATTACATTATTATTTTTGGTATTTTAGAGTCAATTTTTAAGCTTATGTATTTGATTTTTGATAATTATATGCATATTCGAAATTTTTAAAACATTTAAGTACGTATTTGTCAATTTCAATTTTAAAATTAAATTACAATAGATGATAGATCAGTGGCGAAGTCATAGCCCTATGAATTCATAGGCGTAGGGTGGTCAAATTTTTCGGGGGGAGCTGTAGCCCTTCTCCAAAAGGGTAGACATACACTGACTCGTAGAGGGCTTCGTCTGCATTTTGGGGAGGCTATTTTCGAACTTGGGGGGGGGGGGGGCTAAGCCCTCCAATCCCCACTAACTACGTCTATGCCTATGACTTAATTCACGACACTTTGAACGATGGAATTATTAATTACTCATACGAAAATAAATTTAATTAATAAAATAAGAGACAATGTCCCTTATTAAATTTAACGGCAGCTGTGAGCTGAGGAAAAATTTCAAATCGTGTAATAGGTACCTATTTAAAATGTAAATGGCTTACTGGTAGTCAAGTTAGAAATAAATTATATTGTTATTATTGTCTATTATTAAATCCAAGCGTATTATTGTCATTTTTTCAACGTCTCCACAACCAATAATTCACGCCTCGCCAATGCTATTGATATATTTCATGTTTATATGTACCTACATTCTAAAATGTAGTCGCCTTATCGTTATCGGTAAATATTTCCGAAAAGTGAAAGAATATTACATTAAGTAAATTATATTATAATTATATATTTTGTTAATTTATATAATTAACAGGTACCTAAAATTTAATAAAATAGTTTTTTATTTATTGTTTTACATGGATACCTACTAAATTGTATTTATGTGTCTTAAGAATTAATTTATTTGAACATAAATATGTGTTCATTTACAAGTTATTTTCGATATTAACAATTATTTTCAGCTGAATTTTTACATTTTTTTATTTATTGGTAACTTTTTAATGCCTATACTGTGTAGGTTTCCGGAGCACTACTTTCTTAGTCTTAGTAATAACATTTGAATAAAAAATAAAATTTTATGTTTATAATAACATTAATTATGCTAATACATTGTCATGTTAAATGTATATCATAGGCCATTAACATAACTTTATATACAATTGTAAGAAAAAAGTAGATGTGTAAATTATGAATAAAGTGGTCATAATAGCCAAAAGGTGATATTCAGATAAGTAGATACCTATTCTAGCAATGCAAAAACTAAAAAAAAAAATTAAGTAATCCCAAAAAAATTTCTAGCAACAAAACTTTTAACTATTATGGACTTCTTTATCCTGAATTTGTAAATCATATTAATGAAACAAATTCTAAATCTTCATATAAAAAAAGAATTTCAAAAAATTCTTGTTTTTATTAGGAGAAATCTAAAAAACATATTTTTAAACTCTTCCATATAAATTTAATTATTGGGGGGGGGGGGGGATTGTTTTGTGAATTTAAAAACCAAGTTAGTAAATTAATTTCATTGGTGTAATAAATATACACAAAATAACTTTTGAAAATTTTGATTTTTTTCCATTAAACTCATTAAAGGGACTGTTGTACAGTTGCCGGTTGGCATGTATTTAAAATAAAATTCTAAATTATTTGTATACAAATAGTAGGTGATAGTTTTATTAAAAATACATTGGAAATTCGTATTCAGTAGCTTTGTATATTACATTTCTACTACCTGATCCAAAATTTAAACATAAAATAATTAACTTTGATTTTTACTCAAGTAAAATGAAATAGTAATACTTATTAAGGTAACTACTAATATTTAAAATAGGTGTTTAGAAGCCAAATGTCAAAAATGTTTAAAACTATATAAAGGTACAATATTGAAAACACATTAAGTAATATAATTTAAAAAGATAAACAATAGGTATATTTTAACTTTTTCTTAATATTAAATAAAATATTAATTATAACAATAATATTAATTAATGTTTATATGCTATTGGAGGAATTATAGATTTTAGTTTTGAAAAACACAATGTTGCTTTGCCAAAATCCCAATTATTTTCAACTAAACACCTAAAGAAAAAGAAAAAAAAATAATTATACATTATTATAACCTTAATGTTCTTACAAAATGGAATTTAAAAAAAATGTATTTTAAATAAAATGTCTAAAAGAATTTGTATAATCAAAACTAAATATTTTTTATTAATTCACGTATCTTACTTTTTTGACCATTTATCATTCATTCCAGACTCATTTGAAAATCTCTTAATCATTAACAATTCATTATTAGAATTTCCGTTAAGATTATTGGAAGAATTTAAAAAATTTTCAGTTGATGTTTTGGAGAACGCTGGTTCTATTGGTTTTGAATTGGGTTCAGTTAATGATAATTTAGCGCTAGACATAGAATTTAACTGTAGAGAGTTGGATAATATACCCAATGTTGCTGTAGTTAATTGTGTTGCAGGGTTAAGCTGCTGCTGGTGTGATGATTGTAAATGCTGTATAACAGATTCTTGAAAAGTAGATGTTTGCTGTGGACTCCTAGTAGGTGATAATGGAGACAGTTGTTCAGATGAAAGTGAGTTTTTTTGATATTTTAATGATGGACAGTTGGGTATGGTTGTCTTGAAACATAATGTTGACAATACATCAGGCAATGTATCCTCTATAAGCATTGTTGTTTTAAAACTGTTGCTATTAGATGTATAATTTGTTATTGATGGCTTGAAAACATAGAACCGTTTCGCAGATTCCTAAAAATGCATATTTATAATAAACCTTGTTAAGAAAATGAGCTAAAAAACAAATTACTCACTTTTATTAACTCAGAGGATACTGATGTTATAAACATCATATCACTTAATATAATCCAACTATTATTAGCAGGCACTAAACTGAATGTCCGACAAAACGATCTATATACTTGACAATTGTGATTTTCATTAAATTCTTCAGCAAACACACCATTCACCACTACCTGGATTATTGTAGACTAAGGGGAGAAAAATAGCCTTAAAATTAAATTAAAACAAAAATCTTAAGACTTACACTTGCAAATGGTACATCAATAATAAATGATCCAAAGTCATGTTTGGTTTTGGGTAACTTTTCTAAAATGTTTATTATGTTTTCTTTGCCTTTGTGTATAAAATAATTCATATTTTTGTTTTGATTGGATATCAATAAATTTCGATTTTCAGGCATATAAGCTGCTAGACTACTAGGGTTACTAAAATATAGAATATACACAATCAAAATGAATTAAAATTTACAGCCCTGAAGATTTTATGCAATAGGTTTTCTAAATACATACCACGATTTTAGTAAGTAACTAGATAATGAAAATGTGGCATTTTCATGGTAAGCTTCCAATACTGTTTGTCTGGATACCTTGTTGTCAAACTGTTCATAGTATTTTGCTAGGAATAATTCTACTAAAGTCATTACTGGATTTGATTGTACTAAGTTAGAGCACTGTTGTGTTGGGTAACTATTTCCTAAGTTGATTGGCATTTTCAACTTGGAATCCACAATAGCCAAAGAAGGCAAATTTAAGTTATCCTAAAAAAAAAGTAATAACATTTATTCATCATCTAAGAAACCCAGCAAACATCAATATAAAATTAGTATACCAGTGTTCTGCTTTTTTTAATACATCAAGCTTAGATTTAAAGTAAAAAACCAGGTAAATATTGGTTTTTCAAATTTTTTTTTTTTATTTACTACACATATGGTCAAATCAGAAAAAAGAAATTATTTTTATTTTTAGAGATAATCTTAAAATTCAAATGACATATTCGTACAATAGAAATTTATATTATAACTCATATTAAAATTTGACTAAAATTTATATACTATGTAATGTGAACATTCTCAATTACGTATCAATTAAAATATAATATGATAAATAATATTAAATATTATAATAATATTTTTTAACATTATGTCAGTTTAAGTTGTTTGATGTTAAACCATACTTAATACTCATTTGAGATTCTGAACGAAAATTATATGATATTTTAGATTTTAAACAAGATAAAATATGTTTATTTTAAATTTTATTCTTATAATTAGGGCTAGGATTTAAATGCAACAATATATTTTTTTTGCAACTTCTGATTATTGCTTTTGTCAGTAATGTCCATGAATCACCTCAAGATGAGAGATAAACAGTGAAGTTTTTATTTCACATATTCTTGTATATTTTGACAAAAATTTTATGTTGTATAGTATATTTTGTTACTAGAAATTTTTATTGTGTGACAGTATGTATTGACACTGTTCAAAAATATCTTTATAAGAACATATTAAGGTCTACCAAAAGATTGTTCAGTTTTGAAAATTTAAAACACCATGAAATTGTTTAATGTAATACATTTGAATAGCATGAATATTATTTTATTCATTTTAAAATGTATGATTTTTTTTTTTTAATGTATAATTCATATTTTTTGGCATATATTATATGATTTGTATATTTTACAATTTTTTATTGCATATAAATTCTAGCTCTATTTATAATATTATGAAAAAAAGTAATAATATTGAATTTATTTATTGAAACATCAAACAATAGTTTTTCACATTTAAGTATAATAAGATATATCAAATTTAAACTTACCAACTTGGTTAACATAGGAAATAATTTTTGTACATCCCTGAAACAATTATAATGACATATTATGACATGAGTAATATACATATAAACAAGTATAAATGAGATATATTACCTTATACCAATAAAAGTCATTCTAACAATAAACCACTCACTATTTTAAAAATTTTTCACTTTCAAAAATTTATGGTAAAGCTCAAAGAACATTGATGCAATTAATATAATATACATTTTTCAACATAAATTATTAAAAACTATATATTATGTTGATATGTAGTTTTTAATTTGCATTAATACTTAGAGTTAATACAAAAATTTTAAATTTTAGAAATAAATCGAATAAGACGTAAAAAATAATATGAATATTTTATAATCTATCATAAGTTATGTATTCCATGATATATTATTATTTGATTTTCAATTTCGGCCAAATAGGTTTTTATGCATTAATCCACTTACATATATTTTAACTAAGAGTTTTATATACTATAGATAGTCATTAACATAATAATATATATTTAATATAAAGACGCAAAAATAATATGGCTAAAATATATTGAAGTATGCAAATCACTAATTAAGGTTGAACTTTATATTGTTTAAGTAACTCCTTACATAACTTAATTAGCAAAAGTGAATACACATTAACAACTACATATAAATTGAATTTTCACCACCAAAACCAACAGTAATTTTTCCAACCAACAAATTAACAGCAATAAAAAAAATTGAAATTTAAAGTAACATACAATTCCCAAAACTATTAACAACATGTTTATTATCAAAAATAAAAGAATTGACTTATTAATATATTTTACTCACCGTTTATAACACTCTTTATTCGTTGAATCACATAATGGATTTCTAGACAATATGAGCACTTCAATAGTATAACCCATGAGACTCTTTAGTTCGTTTAAATCAGACAACTGTAACAAATTTATTTTACTATATTGATCCAATAAAAGTAAAAAATATAGAACAAATTACTTTATTAGCACCCAAGTCCAATACTTTGAGATCAGGGAACAATCTACGTATCCATGTAATCCCTTCACCTAAATATATATGATTGTTGGCCAGACTTAAACTATATAAATCATGTTTAGTATGTTGAGCAGCTATATTAAGTGCTGCCAAAAGAATTGCTGGTTGATTTAAAGGTACAAACAATTGATTATTGGTAAATACTAAAACAAAAATAAACTTTTAAAACTGTTATCAATTTAATATAAAATAAACTTTTGTGTACATGAACAAGTATGAAATTGTGATAAATCCAAAGTCTTGATACTAGGGTTGTAACAAGTAGCCACAGCGTCAATCATTTTTTCTCTTACTTCATTGGATACTGGTGTAAATGATATTAACCTTCTCTTAGGTAAATATGGAATAACCTTAATAATTAACTAAAAACAAATATTTTTATAAAAATGTATTTATTTAAATTTTATCACACATTTAGAAATGAATAATTTCAACTTACTTTTCTATCATCTCTTAGTGTTATCTTATAGTTTGTATTATGCAATGCTAAAGCAACTTTATAATCATCAACAAGAAATCTTAATTGATTATCAGAGTATTGGTTCTATAAAATTAAAATAAATATTAAACTATTTTACAAGCATTATATTATTATGTGCAATAATATTAAAATAGCATAGGTACATTGTATGGATAAAATAATAACGGTGAGATTTTTATTTTTATTTTATTCAATACTTCATCAAATTCTTCAGCGTTTGTCACCTTAAAAACCAAAATAATTATTACTTCAATATTTACAATGTGTATGCAATTATAAAAATTTAAAACTTACAGTAATTGAGTACCAACCAGTTATACTTTTTTTCACGGCACATAATGAATTTTTGAAATTGCCAAAACCACCATGATTATGATTCCTTTTAGGACAAAATATCGAAATAAATTGTAATAACCATGAATTCTATTTTTAACACTTATCACTGGTAATATATTAAATAATTACTTAAATACCTTTGATAAAAATCATTTTTGAATGGTCTATTATGTTTTGAAAGTCTACCATCAAATTTATTTTGAGCCAAGTTGCTTTTACTATTCCATTTCTTAAAAATAGTTTTAAATCCATGATTGTACGCTTTGAATGAAACTTTTTGATTATAATTTAGACGATATGGGTTACTTCGTCCTCTTTGAATAATGTTAGGCCTTGAAGTAAAATTGTCATGTTCACTATCTAAAAATTAGTGTCATACATTGCATAAATAGTTATGTTTAGCAGATTAACTAAAAATATATATACATTATCTTATTTGTATATATATGTTTAAGTAAATGTTTTGTACGATTTACAGATAAACGCAAAATCAAAAAGTGAGAAAGTCACCGTATTTGCGCCAAGCCTTCTCACAGATTCTTAGAATTATGATATGTACCGTATACGTTAAACTAAACGTAAACGAGAAACTGAAGGATATTGCATATTATGTATTATGTACATCTAATTGGTTTCCTTTGATATCTACTTCCAACAACTCTTTCGTGTATAAATATTGACAAGACTCGATATATTTAGGAAAGTCCGGGAACGTTATATATTTAAAATTAGTTTAACAATCCATCTTACGGACTTAGAAATTATCAAGCCACGTTTAAATCCATTCAGTCTCAATACTTTTTAGAGCTTAAATATAGTTATTTGGAGGTTAGGCCCTAATTTCGTCGCTTGTTCTTTAAATCCGGATTCCAGCATTATATTGTAACTAATTTCCAAATTGATCTATTTACTCTGTCTATAAATGTATATTTAACTGTAATTTAAATATAATATACATTTATACATTTACTAACTATATATACAAACTGTTCACTTTTTTCAATCATCTACATCGACCCTTATGTCTAAACATAAGACATAATGTGAATGTCTGAGATTGCAATAAAACGAAATCTCAATAATTCGAAGTTCAAGACTCCTTTAAGTAGCCTCCAAACTCCCTTCAAATAGCTATATGCACCTACATGTAAATAGCAAATTGTATGCCCAACGCATATTTTGTGTAATTATGATCAATACAACTAGTTGTAACTTTTAAACTATCATTTTAGTCAATACCTAAAATACACGAGTTCATAACGATATTTACACATTTATATCTAGCCTTGTAAATAATTGTTTAATTAAATTCAAAACAATTTTTTGCTTTTAATTTTTTTTTGTACCAAAATATGAATTATTTCATTCCATTGTTTTTAAACTGCGAGTTAAGTATTACAATGTTATATAATTGATATATTATATATATATATATATATAATAACTATACAGTATGACTTAGGTAACTTTTATAGTTAATGTATAATATATTGTTTTCCAATTATAGTCAATGGGGGCAAATTATAATTTATATTATACAATAGCCAACAGAGGCCATACATTTTTTCTATTAAATCATAACATCATAAACCTGAAATCATGATACACAGTTTACGAATACCTATATTTTATGTTACTAAAAATATATTGAGCCAAAAAACTGAGGCCTTTGGAGTCTTTTGGCCTGGAGAACATGGCCCGCTCTGTCCCTTTAATCGGAACTTGTGTATTTATTTAAATATATGTATATTTTTTAGTTTCCTGAATATTATAATAAGCGAGTAAAACATTTTTATTTTTTAAATCGCATGTATAAAAATGCATTTGGCAGTTTTAAAAATTTCTTAGTACAAGCTCTAGCTCTAAGAAAAAAAAAAACCAATAAAAATATAATAATCAAACATTTACATGCCATCTTTCATCGAAATTATAATTACCGAATCAATAGCCATAAATTTATTTTGCTATTATTGATACGCAATAATAATTTTTAAGCAACTCAAGCTCTAGGCCGTTTAAAGATTATTAAAAGTGAATGTTTTTCAGCTTCTTTTGAAACTTTAAAAATCAAGAACAATAATGATCAAGCGAAAAGAATTAAGTTATAGTAATATATTAAACTTGAAAGGCCGAATCTAATATTTATTATAATATAATAGTAATTATGTATTAATTCGTATTAATATCATATTGACCAATCAATATTAATTATAAATATTTTGTTTTCAGTGAATAACAAATTACAAATATCGAGACCGGACGCACATGTCGCCACTAAATTTCGTGAGAACAAAAAAAAAACACCATAAGTTATTTTAAATGAATGACTCAATAATAATTGTTTATTGTTAAATATTTTCTTTAGACCAATTTTGTTATATTTACTTATAAATATATAAATATCCACAATCGTAAAATAAGAATTGGTATAACTATTCATATATTAATTTAGTACTATTTACTTTTATTTTAATTCAACCATCAACACACAAAATAATAATATTATTAAGATAGCGAATAGCGATAATTGTTTGGTATATACTATAAAGTAGGCAGTGGGTATGCCATCATTGCACTACTTTTTATGACATCGCAAAATTCTGCTTAAATAGGTAGTTTTTATACGTTATTCGGGTCATTCCATATTTACAGATGAGCCCTTTATAATTGCTTGAGCAGTCCTTTATGCGAGGGTATACAATAAATAGGAATAAATATACATATACCAATGGATAGGCGATCACACTGGATACAGGATGTATAGATATTTTGTTAAAAATAGCAAAGAATAAAATCTCCCAATATTGACTACTAAGCGACGAGAAATGAATTGCTTTGACTGAAATGTTTATTAATTTATATTCAAATTGTTTAACCGATTGTTATGATATTTTGCGGTGATGAAGACTACCGGAGTATTGTTCTAATACCCAGGCGAATTAAAAAAAAAAAGTATAGTAATCTCGGAAGTCAGACCCAGAAAAATATGATCATAAATAATGACAATAAGATAATAGATTAAACAAATTTTTTACGGATTTTAATTTCTCGCAGAGATCGAATTTTTCACATTCAACAACATTTTAATTGTAACTTTTTCAAAAATTAAAATAAGACATTTTTTAAATTAAGGGGGGTGAGTAAAATTGAAAACGTAAAAAATATCGAGCTCAAGTCTATTTTCAGAATTCTTATGGCTTCACTAGGGAGTACAATCGAAACGCTTGGAAATATTGCACGGCCTAGGCGTTGGACAAAGACGGATGAAACAACGACCATCCATCACCTATGGTCTAGGCCGCTGGACCCGCACTTTCCAGTACTCAACCATTGCGCACGACTCTATTCGCGTATCATCAGAACATCAGAACGACGTGATTTTATCAAGGGAAAAACGCCGAGCAGTTCGAAAGCCGGAAACGGCGATCGACCTCATAGCCGATACCTTCCGTTTTTTTCCCCTCTCCGAGCCATGTGCCTGTCAAATGCACACGGGGAGTTACGCCCAATACTCACGTGAACGGACGTCGTGATTCGAAGACGAAGAATCGTGGCGGTCGGCATCGCCACCACCAATCCGTCTACGGCGGCCGGCGTCTCGCGGGCTGCCACATCCGTTACCGCCGAATCTTCTGCTGCGATCTGCGTCAGGCGGGCTACCATGTCCGGTACCGCCGAATCCTCCGCGGCGGTCGATGTCTTGTCGGCTGCGACGTCGACAACCGGCGGCTATGTCGGCCATCGCCGTCAGCGCTCGTGATACGGACGGCGATAGTAGGTACGTAAACCGGACACACTCGTCGTACACGGTACACACACTAAATCATAATGTTTAACTTTCTGAGCACTACGAACGATATATTATAATGTCAATTCTGCGCTAAGTATCCGTATTCCGTAGAACTAGGAAGTCAGAACTCAGAAGTCTAACCGCGGTCGTACGAGCACACTGAGCAGCGTGAGCGTGCAGCAGAGCGGTGAGTGGTGAGCGTGTTGGGCGTCGTGGACCCGGAATCCGTTGGCCGTTGATAAGAATGTTATAAATAAACGATAATCGGTATTGGCCCAAACGAACGCGAGTCGATCGGTGGCTGGTGGAGGGGGTGATGGAAACTCGCAGACCATAGAGTGGTAGGATTTACTTATAATAATGATTACTTTAAACTGTAGACCGACCGTGCCGTATCGCGTGGATAAAGATTAATTTATTTCTTGATTATGTCATAATAATATTATGTACGATAGCGTCAGACCGCAACCTGCTAGAGGAATCTATTAATATTTATTATTATGTCGAATGCCCGCCCGTCATCTCGATAAGTTTTTGAGAATATTTTGTCAACACGAGTCGACGACATTTTTTCTGATTTTTATCGTTGTTACTTATTATTCTAAGTGTTTTATTATTCATTTTTTCGGTGACTAACATACCATGATAATATCATGTACCACACATTTTTAATTTCATACTCCGGAAGTAGAATATTTTGTGATAATTTTCACGTACATAATATCATTAATCAGGTTTTTGACGAATAATACATTGTGTGCCTCGGATAAATTTCTATGTTTACAAATGTCTTTTTAAAACACTCACTTTTTTCGTATTGATTATATTTAATTCAGAAAATTTTTCTATCTTTCGTTAGAAGCGTAAAAAGTTTAATAAAAGTAGTGTAGTCATTACAAGATTTACTCTTAAAAAAACTCAAAAGCTGGTATGAACGATACTAGAATCCAAATCTCCATTGTCTATCTGACTTCAAAGAGATAAATTAATGTTACAAGCAGTGCTCCAGTACGTTGAATAAAAAAGGATTTTCTGAAAATACTACCTAAGAACACCTATCTAGTGTAACTCGTATGATATTACTGTACTTTAGGTTTTGTCGTACTAGTTACCATGTTTGCCCCATAATCATATGCTTAACCATGAAAGTTATTTATTTAATACATTAAACATATTAAGTATTAATTAATAATTGCATTGTTAATTGTTTTCAAAATAATTCCTTTGTTATTTCATAATATAACAGTAATGACTACTTTTTTTTTTTTTTTAATATGAATGCTAAAACTAGTAAAACTTATCAATCATTTTTATAAAATATTTACCAGATTTTTTCAATTGAATGAAAAGATGAATTTCCATTTTCCGCTAGAAATTAGAATATTATACAGTTCTTGTGATTAATATAAGTTCTTTCTAACTATTGATGCACTTTACAAAGTTTATTAATATCTTAGAAAACAATTAAATAATAGTTTTTATTGTTTTTTGGGCAGAGGGAGATATAAAACCTTTTAATTTCGCTTTTGGATAATAAGAAATAAAAAAGAAAAAATAGGCAATATTTTTAATCAATACTACCTAATAATTATTTTTTTATTAAGCACGATTGTCATGACTTGATATTAATATTAAATTATTCAGGACAACTAAATGATATAGGTACCTTTATAAGCCTTTATTTGCAAGTTTTCTTGAAGAATATTATATAGAGGTACACTGTCTATAATTTAGTTTTAATGATTTTTAGCTATTCTTGAAATACAAATATGTCATAGATTTAAAACATTACTGCGTTATTTTATTTAATTATGCAATAGTTGTTTAAAAAGTTAACACAGTTCTTAGATGAGAAAAATAAAACTATTTTCTTGCTTATGCTTCTTAATAGCTTATCTTATCAATGCAATAAAGATAATGTATCATATCTTAGCAATACTTTAATAAAGCACTATAGGTATAAAATTTTAAATTTCAAAATTTATTCTTTTAAATATAAAGTTGTTAGTTAGAACTGTGAACAAATCTTTCTCTTCACCTTTTGCTTCTAAATATGTGTGACAAATCTCTCTTGTCTTACAACTCCATTTCATTTCCCACATATTTTTATTCTCATCAGTTATTTTCTTGGTATTCTCTGTTCTGTCTATCTCTTCTTCGGTCTTTCCTTCTCGCATTTATCTTTTACATACATTTTAATAGATATTTTTACTGCTTACAAATCATCTTTTCTCATAGCCTAAAATAATCATCTTAACTTATTTCTGAATTATAAATAACTAAGTGGGATAACTTAATTTCTAAAGATAAATATAATAGTATATCATATATTCATATGTTATGTAAGTTAAAGCAATTATGTTAAATCACATTTTTATGAATAGTCTATTTTTTTAATTCTAATTTAATGGTTATTACTTATTTTAGATGTTTAGTATTTATTATCATATTTATATAAATATATTAATAATACATTAATATATTTATAGATATTTGTGTACAATTTCATTACTTTAGTATGAAATCAGATATCTACCACAGTAAAAATAAATAGAAAGCTTAAATTTGTATATAAATAATTTATTAATTTGTATTGTTTAATGTTTGGTGTATAATTAAATTGAATTTACACTTTCAAACAACATTATTCACTTGTCTAACATTGATATTAATCCTTGTAACTTGCATATAGCTCTTAAAAGGCTCTTCCAACTCATTGTCATAATTAAAATGTTGATCATTTTTAGGTAACAGCACTTTTGGTACACCGTGGTAACATAATCGGCTTTCTTTGCTCATAATAATAGTATCCCCAGATCTTAAAAGTATAGCTACTGGTTTGTCTTCCAATGAACGTCCTCCAATAAGAAATATGGCACTTAAACCAAAACTATAAGATACATAGCCACATAGATATTAAACATTCAATTAATTTTATAGTGTAGATAGTTTTTAAATTCTTTATTTTTACCTGATTGACAATAGTGGAGCGCTTAGATTATACTCTGAGTGATCTGTATGACCAGAGAGTGTTGATGAAGGATGGTAAAAGTTTACAATAGCTGCTTCTGCCATAAATTCATCAGGGAATCCCAATAATTTTATGATGGTTTTACTAAGCTTAGATAAGTCCATTGGAAATTCAGATTTTGCGGTTTCAGAATACACCTTATTCAAAATTATAAGATAAAAATAATTAATCTTTTTCACTTTTTTAAATGTTTATGTTTTATAATAAATAATTGGTACACTTAAATTACAATAGGTTGAATTCTAAAAATGAAAAACTAAAAACATAATTTATAAATCAACATCAAAAAAGCTAAATCATTTATGTATAAAATAAATAAATAAATTTATCTATTTTTAAACTAACCTTTGTATCCCAATCATGATGATATCCAAGTGTGGCCCATCGTAATTGATCTCTAAGTTTTAAATTTCTATTCCTAAAAATAAAAAAAAAAACATAAGTAAGAATATTAAGTAAATTAACCTTATTAAAATGTATAAATAAAATAAAATAAAATAATTTTTTGAGTGTTGTAACTGTATAAAAAATATTACAATAGTAAATACATTTTTTGGCATTTCTGTTATGCATTTAATATTTTAACGTTAATAATTTATCAACATAAATTAATCATAACCTAACTCATTTGTTGTAGTCCACCAATCTTCTCCATTGTTAAGGATATGGTGTGAATCAATATTTAACCGATTTGGCTTCTTTGTGTAGTCTACAATGCATCGTTTCAACCAATATCTTTGACCAGTTGATGTAAATGGATTTTTAATAAATATTAAGCCTGAAAATGATAAAAAATAATACATATAAATCATACAATACTAAAAATAGATTTAATAAGATTTTGATGTTTTACCTGGAACATTTAAAACTTCATAACAATTCCAATCTGATATATTACTCTTTAAACCAAGATTATCTAGTATTTCTTGATCATTGTTAAAAAATTCTGATGTCAATATCTTAGGTTTCTATTGTAAAAGAATAATCATAAATTAATGTTTTGTTTAAATAAATAAATGTTATTAATAGTATTAAAAACTCACTATAATTTCAGTATTGACTTCATTTCCAAAGTCTATAATATCTGATTGTTGTTCTAGTGAATTAATATGCTTGTAAAGCTTAAAATATTCTTTAAACATTTTAAAATTAAATGAACATATTATTTTAACTTGACAGTTTTAAAAAAACTTTATAAACCTATAAATATAATATAATTGTAAAAGTTTATATTTTTTCGAAGTAAAAACTAAAAAGTCGAAATAATTAAAAAATTTAACATTCGTTTAAAATAAGTATTATATTGTTATTTGTTATCTGTAAGATGATAACTGCATAAACGTAATCAAAGTGATAAAAATTGGTGTTATCTCTTATTTGTTATATAAATTGATAAACTATAAAAATATTGCTAAATATTCAATTACCTACTGGTTATTATACCTCATAGCTCATACATCAAACATCAAACCCTGTAAATAAAGCTCAATAATTCAAAAAAATTACAAATAATAGCCAAGATAGTACTTAACAATGTGTTGTTATCGAACAAAATCATTTTTAGATAAAATTGTTTTCAAAAGCCCGTTAAGATTAAATTTTATGATCGGTTGTTGACCTTACAATTCCCTATACAATAACTTTAGTGCATTTTAAAATTTTAATAGTGTTTTTCATAACTTTACCTATCTGAATGTATTCAAGGTAAATTTTAACAGTTAGTAGAAACACATCAAAATATAAATGATAAATGTATTGATTCAAATTTAAATGATTATATATTTAAACGGAGTAGGTAATAAATTTGTGAATATTCTAAACTCATGATCAAAAACGCTATTGACTTGTACTTCCAAATCAGTTCAAATGTTTATATGTATGATAATATCCTAATTTTAAAAGTTAATTTTAACAATTCTATAGTATCTATACTGTTGCAAGATAATGATGGGTTCAACACTCCGTTGTTTGAAAAATATTTGCAAAGTTATTTGAGAAATTGTGTTATAGATAAATACTATTATTACTATTAAATGGTTTTATATTTTTATTACTAAATATTCGTTGCGTACGTGACAAGTAGTGAATTAAATATTTCAATTATCAACTTTGAAGATGGTTTTGGGTCGTTTTGAATAAAAAATTGGATTTAGCTTATGTTTTGAAAAGGTTTCAATTAAAAACTTTCAGTAACTTTTTTTATAATTGAGAAAAATAAACAAAAAAAAAAAAAAAATAAGGAAAAACGGGAATTTTTACGCTAAATCAGATTTCAATCTAATTGATTTCTTTATAACTCAAAAACAAATAACCACAAAAACTTGAAATTTTCCCCAACTACTTAAATTATTATTTTATATATGGTATAATTTTCGAAATATTTTTACTTTTTTAAGCTAATGTTGTCAAGACATGAAATGTATTACAAATTTTCTAATAAATAATTTGTTTTCCGATTAAAAATATCGAAAATGATAGTCTTAATATTATTTTATAAGATAGAATTTTAACAAAACCATAAAAATCGCAAAAATTAATAAATGTTTGCAGTTAGAATTTCATAAAAATCTTATTTTTTTTACTCAAAGTTAAGATTTAAAAATTTTTTTATTAGTTTTTCAACCTTAATATGTAAAAAATAAACTATATCGAAAAGCAAAAATAATTTTTTTATGAGCATTTCAAGTTAAAATATTTATGACATACGCCCTCAAAATAATTATTTCTCCTTGAACAATTTTTGATTGAATTTAGAATGTTCTCAGATTTAATATTCCGTTTAAATATATGATCATTTGAATTTAAATCGTAAGATTCATCATTTATATTTTGATATTTTTCTACAAAGTACTAACTGTTAAAAGTTACCTCAAATACTTGGATAGATTAAGTTATAAAAACCGCTATTAAAATTCGAAAATGTACTTGAGCTATTTTATAGAAAATTGTAAGGTCATCAACTGATCATTTAATTTAATCTTAACGGGCTACAGGGAACAATTTTATCTCAAAATTATTTTAGATCCATTACAGTGGTCAGTGACCTCTCTCGATATCAAGGCGTTATGGTACTACACTGGAAACTTACTGTACAGTAAAACGATAAATCTCCAAGTTTATTTGTTGGGTTATAGTCATTAGGTTAGTTACATGAAAAATAAATGTATTTATTTATTTATTCAGTTTTATTTGTTTCAACATATTACCTACATGTTCTTACAATAAGATGAATTTTTGAATTTATAAATATACAGTCCGGAAGTAATGCACTAATGCTTATAAATAATTATTTAAAAAAAAAAGTTATATAAAGATGACTAGTGGTAGGCGTAGTTTTAGTTTTGGATTGGTGATTTATAATACTAATTTAAAAGTGAATAATATGTTCTTTCTGTTTGGTTGTGTCTTTTATGGAAGTTTTTGAGTTGGTTTATTATCCATATTGACAGTAATAATTGTTTATTTCACATAAACCAAGGGGTTTATAGTGCCCCTATTTCTATTCTTATGAATTTTCATTGGAAATTTTATATTTATTTTAATTTTTGTTTGAGATGCGGCTGCTTATGCTGGGCATGCATAAGTTATTAGTAGTATTATTGCCGTGTTAAGTAGTTGAGAGAGCATATTATCATTTATAGGATTGAATGTTGAACTATGGTTTAACAATACGTTTAGGATTTTCAATCTAGTTTAGCCTTGGTTTATTATTTTGTTTATCTATATTTTCCAGCTTAGGTTTTCATCAAGGTAAGTTTTTTATGTTTACAAAAAATGTAATGAGAAATATGAGAATTAGATGTCAAATTGTCAAATGATATGGTCCAAATAGACCAAACAAAATGACCATGAAAAGAAAATAGTTAGGGCAGTATGTCGGGCCTTGTTTAATAGCTACTAGGCAATCTATCATACATATTCTTATCAATGGTTAAGCCAATAATAAATTGATAACTTCATACTACTCTTATTCAATACTTTATTGTTATTTTCAAAAATTGTATAGTGTGTGTTGTAGAAGTATAAATTCGATAAATTTTTTCATTAAATATGTCAAGTTCTGATGATGACTTAGATGCATTACAACTTTCAGCCGAAGCGCAGAAAGCTTTAAAAGAATTTTATGAAGAACAAAACGAAAAATTATTGTCAGATTGTGATGATAAAAAAGATGCAAGCGATTTAAAGTTCGACGAAGATTGGGTGAGTTTGAAATAATCTATTGTTATTTCTCTCTATTAATTTTTTGTAATATAAATTTAGTGGTTTGTTGCAGCAATTAAGCCAATTTTGGTATGATGATGAAACATGTGAGCGAATTGTTGAATGTGTTCATAAAACAGTTGGATCAAATGGTAGTGTAGCATTGATATCATGCCCTACGTTATATAAAACCTTTAAGAAAAAGTCACCAACAATATTAAGTATGATCAAGAATTGTATTATATGATATGTATTATGTAATATTTTATTTAAATTTTTTGATTTTTTAGTTAAACTATTTGAATTTGATAGAAGATTTAGTGCTTATGGTTCAGATTATGTTTTTTATGATTACAACGAACCAATGAAATTTGATGAAGAATTATTGAACAGTTTTGATTTAGTTGTTGTTGACCCACCATTTCTGTCTGAAGAGTGTTTAACAAAATCACTGCAAACTACAAAAGCTCTTACAAAACAACATGTTATATTGTGTACAGGTTAGCATTTTAGAAATTCTATTCTTATGACTTAATATGTCTTCAACTAAAATTAATTAAATGGTTTTATGCTCATTTTTCAGGGGAAATTATGGAAGAAATAGCAACAAAGTTACTAGATGTCCATAAGTGTTCATTTGAACCAAAGCATAAAAATAATCTTGCTAACCAATTTGCTTGTTTTACAAATTTCTCATCTGAACTTGATTAGTAAGTAGTTACCAGTTTCCTTAACTTCCACTGTGAAATTAATAAATCTGATGTATTCAAATAATTCCACATAATTACAGTTATTATACATTTATTTAACTATATTTGTTTTTCATTTTTTTTTTCGTTCAAAGAAATGTACCTTTCCTTATAAACAATTGTAATCTATAGTTTATCTTATTTTTAAATTTGGTTATTTCTGATTATCATACACATAATTAAGTTAAATAATAAAAATGTTTATCTCTTTAGTTTCTTTAATTTATGATGAGTACTGGATCAAGGTTTGACTATGGTCTCATAAAAAAAATGCCATTTATGTACTTACATATTTTAGTTAAAAACAAATTTATTATTAATTACAATGTATAAAATATAAAATAAATATTTAACTATTCAAATAATTCATATATTATAGTTCTATATCATATCTAGTTACCAGCGTTAGGCACTATGTTATGTTTATATATTTTATGATACTTTGATATCCATAATATTGAGGATCTCAGTAAATTGCACCATTTGTACTGGCGGTTTCTTCCGCACTGTTTATGTCATACCTATTTCACTAAATAAGTAACCATTTTATTGTGAATATATAATTCAATAACTTTTGAACTGTTATTTTGGTTATTGGCCTCTTTGGTAAATACACTTAAGTACATAAAAAAAAAAAAAAAAATAATATAAACTTAATTATTTCCAACAAATTAAACGTAATGCTTAATATAAACACATTTAACTTCTAATGGACTTCTTCTTAATTATCAAGGTATAAATAGATCTAAAATGTATACAATTCAACACATTAATAATAATTTAAATTTGACTAAACAACAACAATATCATAAGTACCTACACAAATTCCATGATAAAAGAAAATTTAAACAAATATTAATACAATTAAAAATAATAAATATATAATACTTATTATCGTTTGTAACAGTTATACAACAAAAATATATGTATAAAAAAAATGTCACCAGTATTTTATAGGAACATAAATTGTTTCAAACATTCAATTATAACTTAATAGTTAACATTTTCACAACAATATTATTTATAGTAATTTGTAATAATAGAACCAAGAAATTACAAATGTTTTTAAATAATACATATATAAAAAATAATAATTTAACCATCTATGTTATAAAAATTAAATTAAATTGCTTATAATTTATAAATAAAAAAAGTAAATAATGTTTTATATATTTGAACTGTATTGAATAGATACTTTGTATAATCTAAGTATGCATACCATCACGATGGACAAATATCTCTTTTTCCAGAAAATGATACTATAGACCTAATGCCTTTCATGGAAGTCTAGAAAAAATAAAATAAAATAAAATCTTATAATAACATGAAATAAATAAATAAAACAAAAACAGTTACCTTTTTCTTTGAAGTATTTAAATATTCTTTATACATTTCTGATCTTATATACCTCTGATAGCTATCACTTTTCATTAAATGGTATACATGAACCTGTTTAATAACAATTAATCTATAATATAAGCTTTTAAAATTCTACACTAATTAGTTTCTAACTAAATTGGAAGGTCTATTTTTTGTTTATCATGTTTTGAACTCCATTCTTAATCTTACATAATGAAAATGTGCGATTACATACGGCAGCAATATCAAATGCCCATCTATCAGGAGCAGACATGTTCTTTCGGCTCAATTCTCTTGACTGAGAATCAATGTTTAATGAATCGCCACTTAAATACTCTGTCCAGATTTCTTCGGCAGCTTGAGGCACTTCACATTGAGGCAATTTCTTAAGATTCTGTACTGCTTCCCAAAATCTTTTAGGAAAAATATATCCATAAAAACTGTTCTATACGTCTTATTTACTATTTGCAAACATATAATATGATGTATATTCTTACTTTAAATTTTCACAACTAAATTCTTTTTCCAGGAATTTTGTAAAATGTTCTTTTCCAGCAGGATCAGCTAGAAGTTCTTTTAAACTAAATGCCCATCGTTTTATTCTACGCACAGTAACTTCCTTCCTATACAAAAACAAAGAACTATTTTTAAAATGTGAATTGTTTCTAATAAACTTAACAATCAATAAAATTACGCACGAATGTTTGTCACAATCCCATACTTCAACATTATCTAGTAACCAAGGGTTGCCAAATTCTGGAGGTGTAAAAAATGGATCATATTCTGCATACTGTTCAAAATAGGTAATGTATCTAAAATAAAAATTATTGATAGTAAGTGCATCGTAAAATACCTTATTATATTATTATTTATTATCTACATTGAATCAATACTAACGTGTCTGCAATTTTTGATAGTTTTATATTACGGCGATCAAGCTTTAGTCGCATTGCAGTTATATCTTTTTTTATAGATTCAATAGTAGGTTTACTAACGTTAGTTTTTACAGGGAGCTGTATTGGTAGTGAGTTGTTAATGTCTCCATTTGCCAAAGTAGATAATTCTTTATACCTCTTTAATTTCCTATAGTCGATTTCTGTTGTTATTATAGTACCGGGCTATAAATAAATACAAATATTATGTTATATTACTTAAAAATAATGTAATTTATTACCATTGGTCTATGTACATCCCAAAATGCACGTTCTTGACTATCTAATATTTTTCTTTCCATGCGATCTCGTTTTTTATCAACTTTACTTTGGGCTTCTGCTTGTAAAAATACAAATTCCCATTTTCGAGATAAAACTTTTTGAAGTTTTGCTAAGTTTTCGGCTTCATAATCAGCCAATTCTAAACGCGTTTTATTTTGCATTGTCCTTTTGCACAGGTATACAGCTAAAAGATTAAAGTACTTATTATTTTAGATATTTAAATATTCTACATAAAAAAAATGTGTGTTTATTAACAATTGGGGTCACTATTAAAATAACTGAATTGATTCTTTAAAATTGTATAACCAATGCCGATACCAAATCTTTATCAAAATAATTACAGGGAACGGATGAAATCTTTAAAATTAATAACTTTTTCAAAGAATAAAAATAAAAATACATTATTCAAAGAAACAATAATAGTAATAATAGATATTAAAATTAATAAAATTAAAAAAATGCCATTTCTTAAAAGCTATAAATTATAATGTACAAAATACTTTTTTTATCTTACCATAATCTGTATTCTCAGGGTCAAATATATTTGATGGCCAGTAATAAGGAGTCTGTAATAAATAAATGAAAATATTTTTATAACTCAAAAATAATAAAAACCTTACACAATTACTAATTACTTATATTATAATAAATGTCTTAATTAAATACTAATATTAAATACCTAATCATATATTATACGTAACTTTAATGTATCTTAACTTTTTTTTAAATGTATACCTATTCCTAATATAATAAACAAATGATTTATTGAGCTATAGTACTTTAGTACACAGAAGTAAAATTTTGAAATAATGATTTTAATAAATAAGATCTTATTTTTTGTAGGAATAGATTAATGTTAAACACTTATCCTCTTCAAGGCATAACACTTGATATTTCACTCATTTTAATACAATTCATGGTAAATTAGATTTAAGCAAACATATTATATTAATATAATATCAATAATATATTTATGGCCACGAAAAGTTGAATTCACTTTATTTCTTAAATGATTTTTTTAATCTAAATATAAGTATATTACTGAAACATAATGATTTATGATCAATAATGAATAAGTTAATGGTTGATTTTTGTTATTAACTAAAATATACTAAATATTTGGCATATAATTATACCGTATTGTTTTCATTTATCAATCAAAATTTACTTTAAACAATCAATTATAATAATTTTTAATTCAATATAAATTTAAGTACCTTTGTTTATGTTTTAACTATATCATAATATTAACAAACAATAATAATAAATATAAATCATGATTTTGTTTTTTTAATTCAAAAAGTACAAACTAGATCTAATTTTTTACCCAAAACCTCCTCAAAGCTAATGATTGAAACATTTTTTTATTAAAAAAAGTCTCTCCAGTCACAAAAAAAAAGGGTTTGATCTAAAAATGTTTCATATTTCAATAATATATATTGTCTTTCTTCAAATTTTAAAGGGAAAAGTTATTAAAACTAAAAAGAGCTCCTCATCATTTTACTTGCAAACAATTTTCTTTATTACTTTAATTTTTATTAAATCCTATAAATTTAAATACATATTGTATAGTATAAATGATATATTATTGTATTGAATGTATTTATTTAGTGTAGAATTATAAAAATTATAACTTAAGATCAAATCAATACAATCAAATAAAAATTGTTTTACTAACCCCTTAAGACTGCGCATGGAAGATTAATAACAATTGTAGTTAGTTGTAATTAGATTTTGACCTTATGTTTTTTACTACATAATATATATTTTAAAGGATTGATCATCTTTTTCTATGTATTGATAAAAGTCCAAAAATACAAATTTATCTTAGTATTCTAAACATTCTAATATTATCTTTATACAATTCATTTTTATAGTATACAAAAATAAAAAAATACAACATGAAAAATATCCAAATGATACTTATGTCATGTCTCAGCCCTTAAAGCCTTCTAATCATTAATAGCTAATAATATGTTTTATAATAAACAATAATTTAAATATGTCAATATTTACTAAATATATTTATTTACTTTTTCATTTTTCAATGATGTTGAACATTAATAGAGTAATTATCATCAAGAGTTGAAAGATCACTATATGATTAATTTATTGTCACAAATTACTTACTTGAAAACGATAATAAGATCCATCGTTCTTCACATTCAGAAAATGATCATCAATTGGGAACAAGTAACCATGAGTGGACAAAAGATTTGCAAAGTATAACGCTTCAACTAAGACATATTGATATAATATATTAATATTAGTAACGTTTTATTGGGTTTATTTTCATTATACAATTGATTAAATCTTTACCTTGATCATCAACATCCACATTCTTCATTATCCACAATATCAAATCAGCACCTAATAAATAAATCATATCATATGATTATTATTATTGACTGTGCTGTAAATTAACAAGAAAGTGTGAGAAAGTTACCGGTAAACACAGATGGCACTTTAGCTCTGAACTTGTTGACAGTACGCACAGGGATGCCGGTGTTCTCATCCTGCATACGATCCATCAGTTGTTCCATCTGAAAATATGGGGTTTGAGTGGCAAATACTCCAATAGGGGAAATATAAAATAGTATACTTTTTTGTAGACTATTTGGTGCTGAGTAATATTGTCTAGGTTGGTCATAGAAGCCGCCGTGAGTGACACGGTCGGTGTGTCGACGGGCACATTTCCATCAGTTTTTTGTTTCTTCCGTCTGGCGGACCGCTCCGAACCGATGACCAGGCTGAGGACATGTAAAAAGAAAAACGAGTGAACATCATCAACCGGTGAATAATGCGCAACACAGTCTACGTTTTATATTTTAATACAATTAGTAATATATAATAACATTCTAGCTGGCGAGAGTGTGATGAGTGCGACGAACATCGCGACTTTGATTTTGGGAGTGGAGGGGGGCGAAAGGAGTTTTGATGGGCATGTGGGACGCATCAATCGACGATAGGTAGGTAGGTATACACCGTATAGCATCATATATCACAACATCTTTCGACGCATCCAGAGGTACGTACCTTTGTCCCATGGCTTTAAATATGTAGGAACATAGTATCCCTATCGGTTTTAACAGGACAATTAACATCTATGACGCCCGTGTGTGGTGACTGCGTTCATTAAGGACACGACGGACAAACACGTCGGGCGGGGGACGGTTATGTGGCTGGCTGGTTGTCGGTCGGTCCTGGGCGAGCGGGCTGGCTGGCGGGCTGGCGGGAGGGATGGAACGTTGCTGGTTCCGCGTTTGCGATCGCGTAGTGTACTATTGTGTGTATACTGTGCGCGGTACGACGGCCACCGTCTACGCAATGTGCATGTTGTGTACGACTGACGGGTAGCGGTGGCGGCCGCGATGACAATAATATTATTCGCCCCGCGCCGGAACTGACTCTCGCGAGTCGGCGGCAAAGGGATCGGCGCGGCGGACGGTCGTCAAAGGAGAGACTAGAGAGCGCGCGCGCGCGCGCGCGAGCGAGCGATACGACCGTTGCCGAGCACGAACGCCGATCCCGTCCGGCAGCGGCGCGGAGACGGCACATCTTTCGAGACGACTCGATGCTCCGGCGGGCTAATTTTAAATCAATACCTACTCGGACAGTCAGACGGTGGAGCGCGCGCTGTTGGACGGGCGTGATCCCTCTGGGCCCTCCGGCTTCCCCCTACGCGGGCGCGGTGTGGGTCGGCAGACCCGCGATCGAGATTTCTCGACGATTCGAGCACTGTACGCACGGTGTATATAGTGACGGCATTAACAGCAACAGCGTAATTTATTGATACCTAAATAATAAACAATCGTTTATACTTCGTCATTCGCGTTCACAAGACGTCTACTCCTTAGTCTTAAGTATAGGAACTCCTATTTAGATCCTATCGGCACGGCCTAGAGCGACAAAGTTTTGGGGGCGACAGGATTTGGTAATAATCGAAAACTCTCAACAGAATGTTTAAATTTAAATCTCATTTAGGATTAATGGCCTTCAAACATTGAAGTTAAATATATTTATCCCGGGTATATCATAAATATATATTATATACATCAGGGGCGACTCCAAAGGCTTGGTTGGGGGAGGGGGGCTGAGCCATAATATTTATAACGATATCGTACTATAGTAAATTATGTATGATTATATATAGTTTATTTATACTTCATACTTCATAGTATAGATAACATTTTATAATACCCCTAACTGCACACTTGTACGTGTCTATAACAATGAAAGGTATAATAATGTTGTTTTTAATAATATATGTTTTAGAAATACGGGCTCAGGAGGGGGACGCGGCCCTCACACTCTGAAACCGTCCCTGATATTTATGCGTAATATGTGTGTAAAATGTAAATGAATATGAGAATACAGTTTTCTAATCGATATGTAGTAACTCCGATTGCCGATTGTGTACGTACTTAGAATATATTTGTACTTCAATTTGAAATGTATACGAATGTATGTATGGTATTGTATGACGTTCTTATTCTTGCTTCAAACAAATATAAAATTATTACATGTCTATATGTCGACTGTAAATAGTACTATTATAGTAGGTACCTACTACCTACCGAAAATCTCCATTGTTTGTTAATATTGAAGTGAATTAATTTTTGATTATTTTAAAGATGAAATGTGACCATTTCATTAATGGCATACCTATTTCTGAAGAAAAAAAATTATAATTTTTAGTATGTCATATAATTAATGTATAATTTACAAAAAAAAGTAGAATAATGTATAATTCAATATTTAATGTAATATTTGTTTTGTATTTATGAATGATAATATCATAACAAATTTTGTGTTTATTTAATATAAAATGTGTTTTATAAGGTTTTAAGTTTGATGAGGATCGAGGTGAAAAAAGCAATGATTTTGGAAGTGCCTAAAGACGGAAAAAACCTAAATACGCCATTAAGACATAGTAGATAAAATATCACGACTGTAAGAAGCATGTAAAGCATTTGACTTTGGTTTTTATCAATTAAAAATTTAACATGTTCACAGTAGATAATTGGACTACTTAGGACGTTGTATAACCATTTATCATTCTATCTACAGCTTTGATAGAGAGAACTAGAGAAATGGTGAGCAAATAGTGAGGACTGAGTAGGTAATGGGTAATGATCGATGATATGATCGAATGACGATCGATCCTGCGAGATCATTGTGATCGTTGCCATTAGATAATTATACGCATTTACGTAAATTGTGTATAATAATAATAATAATAATATGGCAATGCTCATTACACACTGCACAGTATATTTTATTTTTATTTATCTACACCCACTTATGATGTTTATTATTATTATGGAGTATAAGCACGGGTCATTGACCGGACTGAATAGCGTGACCAATTCCTTTGGGGTTGACTATGTTTAATTATTTATAATAAATTGTCGACAAAAAATAATTTTAAAAACGAAATTGCGATGTATTAATAACACATCGGTCGGACTGGCCTATGTTATAAACGCGCTGCAATTGTTTGATAGGCTCCCAAACGTGTGCAGGGCCCTCACAGTTTTTTAACATTTCAAATAAAAATAAATAATTTATTTAAATGTTTGTAGATTTAATTTGTACTTAAATGCATACGTGAAAGTATGCAATGGTACACGTATTTGATGCTATTTTTTTTTGTGGGCCTTTTTTACTAAATTGCATGATAGGTCTCTTTGAGTCAGTCTGACTCCGTGTGTTAAAAATTATTATATTAATAAATAAATACTATTAATAGGTAAATACTTATATTGCTTTGTCCTTATTGTATAGAGGCACTACTACACTGCTATGCTATATGTCAGGGCCGGATTTTATATGGAAACTCACTTAAAAGCATGTAACTTTAGCCCAAAATAAAATTAATTGGAATTTAGTTTCTCAATAAATGTTCTAGAAAAACATTTTGGTTTTAATAAATATAAAATTATCGACGGAATACGGGTCATGACTGCGCGTAATCAATCATCCCGATGACTGATGGTGTAAAGTTGTGCGTGATGACGCATTTGCATGTCCATCCCAATGTGAATACCCGAAAATTCAATACGTAATCGTTATCGACTTTTGTGTATACTTTGACACTTTATATTTACTATTTTGTTGATTGTGCATAAAATATATACTATACACGTAACACAAAGACTTCTATCTTTTAATACGTACTTCAGTACTTACATAATAGAACTTTGGAACTATATAGTACTATTATATACATATTATATAGGTCTAGGTCTATGTTAATATACCAATATCCCATAGAATCCTGAATAGTTTTCAATAATTGTCATTGTACCCCTTGAAAAGAAAATAAATAAGCGAATTTTTTGAAGAAAAATAAGTTAGAGTTGCTGTAAAATGTTTTAGAATAATATTTAACTACTGTTATAACTTATAATGTTACACAGTAAAAATTTCGGGAAAATGGCATATGAAATTATTACAAGATAAGAAAAAGTCTAAAAATTATCTAATAATTAATAATTTATAAGTAGAAGTCGAATTTATATTCTCTTAAAATCCTTTAAATATGTTTTTATGTTATTAAAAATAAGCAATATATTTCTCTTAATATTCTTTTAAAATATTAGATACGAATAAATGATGTTTTATATTCATAAAAAAAAAAAATATTTCAAGAATATTTTGTAAAAAAAAAAATTAAAAATATTCAACTTAAATTTATTTTATTGTATTTTGTTCGCAGTATAAATTAGTTAGTTCATAAATGGTACATAAAAGTAATATGTAATATAATTATTAATTATTTTTTTTGAAAAAATGTTTACAAAAATAAAAATATTGTTTTTTAATATCAAATATTTTCGAACGTATTGAATATTTTCTAACCCCAAAATTTATTTTTTATGCAAAATAAAGATGTTTCTATAAATTCTGTGTTTCATGAATCTTAACTATATTTTACTCCTTATTTAACTGCGTACACTAGAAATCTAGAAACAAATATGTAAAATCGTAAAAGTTCGACCTCTATTTATATAAAAACTTAATTTTAGTTTTCATTCTACAATTTATTCAAAATTCTATTTTATAGTTGATAAGCATAATATTAAAAAATAAAGAAGAAAATATTCTTTTTATATTAACTTGATTAATAAATTATAAGTAATTACTATAAATTTAATATTTTATATAATAATGTTAAATACATAATATAGGTAACTAGTATAGATATACTACATATGTATTTATATTTATATACTAATATTAAATATAGGTGTTGACGTATAGAAATTGATGCCTTATTTTTTTGTCTTGTATAATTTAAAAATAAAATAAGTTTAATTTTAATATATAGTATGATTTTAGACATTGTCTGGACATCTGGTGTATTACTAGTATATAAAGTAGTCAGTAGATATTTATTAATATTTATCAACAGTTCTCAATCGTGTATAAATAGCCCAGTTTAGAAGTTTTCAAAAATTTACCTATTGTATTTTATTATAATCCGTAGCCAAACGGTTAACTTTTCAATTATTTACCCCAAAATTGTCGTCACCATGGGCTTACATTGCTTACAAAGTTGGTGTTGTATAGTAAGTATTTGGTACAACTACCATTATCACATAATAGATACAGCCGATATAGCGCGGGCTGAGAGTAAAAAGGTTCTATGTCAAAATATCTAATTTTTCAGGAGAACATTTTTAAGGTTTGTTGTCAAATTAGGTACCTGCGAACTTGAATTATGTTATATGGTTGTATTTAAATATTTAAAAGTATTATGTTTAGTTTATTGATTATTATCTTATTTTCAATACTTAAATCATAATATTATATTTACATAAATTATAAGTAACTAATATTTCCCGACAAATACAAATTTTATGTACAAAAAAATTAATACAATATTGCCTAATTTATTCAATTAGGTAAACCGTTAAATTTTAAATCCAGCGTTATGGAATAGACTGCTTGTGGAGTGTGGAAAAAATAACAAAGTGAGAATTAAAGGAAAGATGGAGTAAAAATGAACAAAACGCGTTAAAAATTACGAAACTTTGCAATTATTTTTTTATTTAAAATGCATAAATTTAATACCAAGCTCTGAATAGCTCATGAGTTTCTCTATAGCAACTAAAAAAGTTCAAATTGTCTATACATTATTTTAATTACAAACAGCTTTAATACAACAGTATTGCGCCTACGAAACGATACACAACCCAACATACAAGGTTTCTTATCACGGTTTACAAATCATTTTGTTCTGCGATCACATACAGAAAACTATTATAGTCACCGAATTGATAGATAACATTATCTATATTTATGTATTTTGACAACAGTAAACAGACGCGCACGTGTAGTTTTTACTTTTTACTTTTTACCGGTCAAAATTTCATAGTATGTTATAACTTATATTGTCATGATTCTCAACGTTAGAATTACCAAAATACCAATTTGTATTTGTAATATTATGTGTTCACGTTTGTAACAAATCAATTCCTCTCGAAAAAAATTATATAAAACTCTTATAGTTTTATGTCATATCGATAAGGCTGTAATATATTATAACAATGATCGAGCCAGAATTGTTTAATTTCAAACCGCCTTTAAATAAACATGTTTATGTACAAAAGCAATGGGATAAATTATTAGAAAATATTGACGAATGCGGACTCACCCATTCTGTAAGTAGCTTAATGATTTGTTACCAAATAGCAATTTTGATATCAAATAATTAAGACTGTGGTTTTTGATTAATTTTAATATATTTTAGATTTCGGTCGTTTTGCCAGATACAATTTTCATTCCAAATTACATAGAAAATATATTTACTGAAAATGGTCAATACTACCTGATAAAAAATGTTACTTTATGTTCATTAATAGATCCTGGATTTATCACTTCTTTTGTGAAAAACGGTATTATTATTACTTAAAATATACAGTATAATATATCACATTAAGTCATTGTATAAGTTTTTTGTGTTGTATACTTGTGTGAATACAAGTATAATGAATACATAATGTGACATTTTATTTGAAAAAATAGTTTTATTATTTAATAGATAGTTAGAGAACATTTGTAAATTAAAAACTTTTAATCTTTTGCTTTATATATGATAATCGTAATATTTTATTAATTTATACAAATTATGCTATACTTTAATTTTATTGTTTAGGCAATGTATATGCAATATCTCTGAATACTCAGATTGATGCTGAAGACTGTATTTCAATAACAAACAGTAATTTACTTCAAATGTCTTTAATTCGATCATCCTATCAAAATATATGTCTACCAGTAAAAGACTCGAGTAAGTTTAATATTTTAACTGTATTTATACATTTAATTTAAATTTATATTTTACTTAGATTTCTAATGTATTAATATTTTTCTTGTTTAAAGGAATTACATTGGATTTGAAAACATTAAAATTCAGTAGTAAATCTTATCAACGAATCAAGGAGAATTTTGAACATTTTCAGACAAAGTTTGACATCCTTATTTGTTGGGAATCCAATAGTAAGTAATTGTATGTAATATTTATTAACAATTTACAAATTATAAATGTATCAATTTAATATATTAACCTGGTATATCTTGTCACAATATTTTTTAGTTGATGACATATGCCCTTCATCAATAGCTTCATACTTTAATAAAAATGGATTTGATTGTCAAGAATGTATTCCCCGATCAACTACAAATAGAAAATATAATATGACCATTCCAACAGGCATTGATGATTTTGGACTTTTAGATACATGGTTATCGTATTTTTCCTTAGACATAAAAATGTGAGAACATTTATTTAAAATGCTTCTTTTATTATAATTACTTTTTAGTTATCAATCATAATATGTTTATATATATATAAGCAAATTTTCTATTTGATGTAATGCTACTTTTGATGCTATTTAGGTAATCAATTTAAAACCATTATTTGTAATAATCCTTTTTAGTAACTAAAATAATTTGATCTTAATTAATTAAGAAAACAATTTTTTTTTTATTTTTACATTTTATTAATTTTTAATATGAGTTTATGTAGTATTACAATAATTAATCATTATAGATTTTTAATTTTTTAGCGATGATAAAATACCCAGTATTTTACCTGATGGAAAGTTAACGAAATCAAATTCTCGCAATGTTGGTCAAGTAACTGAAATTATCTGGACAGGGTTTTTTGATAATCAAAAAGTGAAACTCTTGTTAGAAAAGTTTAGGTAAATTAACTAACTTTGTTTGAAACTTACTGTTTAATTATTCATATAATATTATATTGCAGAGAATTTCAAGAAAAAGAAGGCAAGATATACTGGATAGCGATTCATTTGGAGCCGTTTTCAAACTCACCATATCCTCGTTCTCATCGAACAATTTTATTAAATCCTGATGAAAAATATTTTGTTTCTTATTGCACAAAATGCAAAAAATGTTAAATTTAAAATTTTTATTGTATTTTTGAAATATTTTTATTATTCCATACATCGTCATGGGTAAATAAACCGTTTTATTGAAATGTGTTGATAAGATTATTTATTATCTTTTATCTTTTATCAGTATTATTCAAATTTTCAAAACAAATGATATCATCGTGTTTGTCATTTGTACACAATTCATAAGATTTAAATTGGCAATTAATTAATTGTTTTTGAATTTATTGTTCTGTTAAAAAATGCCTTTGATATTGATGGTTGGCCTACCGAGTAGTGGTAAGACCACAAGAGCTCGTGAAATTCAAAAATACTTTACTGAGGAACAGCACAAAGAAGTTATCTTGATATCTGATAATGAAATAATTTCAGAAATGAATATGGACAAAAATGTTTTGTATTTAGGTAGTTATAAATTAATTTATTAATAATATGCCATTTAAAATTTTACATTTTTATTTTTTTAATTGCGACGTCATCTTGTATGGCCATATAGGCAACTAATACATATCAGTACACTAATTTTGATACATTGCTATTTAATTTTAATTTTTAGATGTGTTTTTTTCATCAGATTTACAGGATCTGTGACAAGATAAAATCTTTTAAGACATGAATCAGTTTAGAACATTTATATAACAATTTGAATAGTAAAATTTCTTATTAGTGTTAAATTATGAATAATATAATATATATTTTATTAACTTGCAATACTTATATTTGTTAAATATTTAAATTTATTAATATTTACAGAAATGAAGAAAGAAAAAGATCTCCGGTCAAAATTGCATTCTGATGCCTTGAAGTTAGTATTATATTATTTTGTATTTTGTGACTATGAACAATTAATTCAAAAAATTAAGTTTATAGATTTCTAAAACTGAAATAACTATAATATCATTGTTCTCTAGTTAATATTTAAATAGTAATAATAATTTATGTTTATAATATTATTAATTATAAGAAAATATTACTTTTTGGTTGGACCACGATACAATTCTACTAATCTTTTATTTATTGTTCTTTTATCTCCTTTGCCATAATGTAAAATTAATTAAGTAATAATTTTAACTGTTTATAGGAGCTTAACCAAAGAAAATGTTGTAATATTAGATTCTGGAAATTTTATTAAAGGTATGTAAAGTTATTACTTTGTGTTTTTATTTATTAATTAACAATAATATTGTAAAATATGATTTTTATAATTCAAAAATTTTCATTTATTAGGATTTAGATATGAACTGTATTGTTCTTCTAAAAGTTTGAGTACACCAAAGTGCTTAGTTGTATGTGATATATCAACTGAAAAAGCTTGGGAACTAAATGAAAATAGACCTGAACAAGAAAAATATGTTAGAAAAACATTTAATGATCTTGTTATGAGATACGAAGAACCAAATCATTCAAACAGGTTAGTTTAATGAAATATTTTTAATTGTGTATATTAAATGAAATATTAAATAAAATGAATGTGTACTTAGATGGGATTCACCATTGATAAATTTACAATTGGATGACACTTTGCCTGCTGAAGACATTCGAAAAGCAATTTTTGAAGTCGCTGCTCCGATACCAAATCAATCAACCATAAATGTAAGACCATACTAATGTAGAAACTAATTTATTGAGTTAATTAATCATTAATTTTTTGATACAAAATTAAAACCTGAAGTTAATTTTAAACTAATTAAGTCTAATTTTTAATAGTATTTTCATCTAGTTTTATTATTCAATCAAACATTGGAAATATTACGTTTATTTTATTTACTTCAAGTTTATAGTCATACCTGTTGCTAAACATAAAATATTTTTACTTTTTTCTCCTCATTTAAAAAAAAAAAAAAAAAAATTAAATTTTATCCAATTCTTAAAAGTTGAAAAATTATTGTTTAAACATTATTTAGTAAACCATGATTATTTATTAACTTTTTAATATAGTAATTTTATATATATCGAGAATTTTGTTTGAAATGCATAGAATTATTTTTTAAATCATAAAAATGCCACATAATTACTTTATTTTTGTACACTTATAAATATATTGTCTAATTATTAAAGTTTGATTTTTCTTACAAAACAATTAAAAGAAATCAAATTTTGTCTTTAATCTAATGCTTCTGTTAACATTATTTTAATTATGTTGTAATTATATTTCTGTTTAAAACAGGCACCATTGAATTCGAGTTCATATTTGTATGATTTAGATCAAAAAACACAAGAAGTAATTAACGTAAGTACAAAGATTTTTTATAAATTTTGTAAGCAAATAAACATTTATTCAAGTTAATGATATTATTATAGTATAATGATTAATGATAGTTATTTTTTTTGTTTGTTTCTAACTGTATTTTACAGTCAATTATACAGTTGAAAAAACAAGGCGTGGAAGGAGAAAATATTGAATTAGTAAATTACGAAGGAAAATACCTTAATAAGTTGGACAAAAGCATCTCATTAGTGCAACTTGCTAAGTCTAGGAAACAGTTTTTATCGTATGCTAAAAGCCACGTTTCAGTTGCAAATGACCAATCAAATATTGTTAACATGTTTATACAATTTCTGAATAACACTATTACTTGTTGAAAAACGTTATTATTATTTTTTTTTTTCAATAGATGAGTTATGATCACTGATTCCTTTTCAAAGTTTATGATGAGACAATATTATCTTGCTTTACACACATATGGCCCTACGCTCTGAGGGGTATATGTACAAAATTTACTCCTATATGTTGGGAAGAAGATTTGGGGCCAAGTGATATGGATTGAGATTCATTACTAAAAGTTTTACTTTGTTGTTTTTAACAGAATTATTAATGTTAAATTGATGAATGCATTGACTTATTTGTTTTACGTCTTTGACCTTGTGTTAGAGAACATGGACAGTATTTTTGATTTATTTAAAAATTAATATTTGGAACCTATATTCCTAACATCTAAATTACGTAATATTATTGATTTTTAATAGAATGCAGTACTTTAGTAGTACATTTTTTATAATCTGAGTGTTTTTAACATTAATAATTAATAGTGTTAATAAATTTCAGGTTTTTTTTTTTTTTATTTAATTTGTATTAAATTTATTATTTACAATATAAAACTTATAAAAGTTAATAATTTGTTAATACTATTTAATATTTTATTGATCGATACTTAAAAAATGTTTGCAGACATTACAGTATCTTTTTATTATACACAAACAATTATTTTGACATACGTCTATTAATTTTTAACTGTTAATTCTAAATATTTATCAAAAGATTAAATACTCAATACAAACTACTGACTACTACAAACCTTATTTCCAATTTCGTCATGTACTGTGTTATGTTCCATCACACGATTCTGTTTAGTGAATTAAAAATCTGAATCTCATTGTAAGTTGTGTTATTGCTGGGGGGAACATAATTACATAACCCTTTGTCTCTATTATGTATATTGTCAGTAGTTTTTATTAAACTTATAAACATTAATTATAGAATAAGCTCGTAGCCCCAAATCCGTCAAAAATTAATTGTTTCTAACTAGGTAGTTGAAATGTAGTTGCGTCATTCAAACAAAACAATGATAATATTCAAAATACGATATTAAGTTAATTATGTATTATGGTTAATAAATTGTATCAAGGGCGCCCATATGGGGGGGGCAAGGGAGGGACATGTCCCCCCCCTGGAAAATGTAGAAAATATTGGAAAATTGTTTACTGTGGTCAGAATCTATTTATTTAGAAAAAAATTAATTAAATATTAAAATAAATGAAAATCTATAATTAATTGTTTATGGAAAATAGGTTTATTTACTGTGGCAAATCAAGTTATCAGCTATAAATAACAACAATAAATAAACAATGTTCATTAGATATTATTATAATATATATTTTGTCATGAGTTCGGACGGTTTTACTGCTCGCGAAATAAACATTCATGTTTAAATTTAGACGCGCCATACGTACTGGTTTCACTGTTCGTCGCCGTCGTCGTGTACCGCTTCATGAATTTACTTATAATACTGTAGTGTGGCCCGACCCTTACATTTTATAGTAAAAAATAGAAAAGTGAAAACTATTCAGTATTTCAGTCGTTACACTTTTGTTGTGTCAAGTGTTATATTACTTAAATATATTTAATAATAACATAATGAGTACTATTAATAAATTAAAAAAGTATGTATTTACTCCGAAACGTCAAAACCCAGAGCCAGAAACAAGTTCTTCACCCATGTATGAAAGTAAGTTTTCAAAAGTAATCCTTATTAGTTATTATTAAATCATCAGAGTCAACGATCAAATCATAATTGTTCATCAAATGATTCTATCAAAGATTATTACAGAGTATCCATATATATACCATATTTAGACTCTATTATTAGTTCGTTAAATAATAGATTTAATGAAAACAATGAGACTCCATTTAAATTATGTTGGTTGCTTCCAAATGAAATGATTAAACTACAAAAAAATGAATATTTGAACATACTTCAAGATATTGAAAATCATTTTAAAATACCTAATATAAAAGTTAATGGTTTAATTTGGTATAATTATTGGCAATTAAAATCACAATCATTTATAAATGATACAATGGAAGATTATAAAAAATTATTGGTGGAGTGTGAATTTTTTCCTGCCGTCAAGAAATGTATAATGATCTATATTACATTACCACCTACAACATGCACTGTAGAACGATCATTTAGTACGTTACGAAGAGTAAAAACATGGACGAGATCTACAATGAGTGAAGATAGACTTGACGGGTTATGTATGATAAGTGTACACAGGGAAAAAATTAATGATAAAAAGAATGAATATATAGAAGAAGTAATAAACATATTTGGTATTAAAAAAAGAAATTTACAATTTTTATTTGTAAATTAATATTTTAATAAATATAATTAATTGTTTTCAGTGTCCAATTTATGTTTTTAATTAAATAAAAATTCGATTAATTACTTTTATGGTTAATTGGTTAAATAATTATCATTTCATAATCTTCCAGTTTGATTTACATAATATAATGTAATAGCATAATAATTAGCAGTAGACCTCTTCCTATCTCCTATTCCTATTCCTATTTATAAATGTATTGATAAATTAAGATTTTGTCCCCCCCTTGAGAATTTACCTATGGGCGCCCTTGAATTGTATTACTTCCAAATAATGGTAAACAATAATTAGGTATGATAAATTATTTACGATTAAAAATAACACAGTAAACAACTAATATTAAGAAAAATAATAATAAAAAATAAGACAGGTTTATAAATATCCTAAAATATCACACATTTCATTTGTTGTAACAAAAATTATTGTTGTAAAACTTGAATGCCAGTATTAAGTATTTCGGTAAATTACTTATAAATTAGAAATATATGCAATATGGTGACAAGCCGAAACCTTACTATAACGCGATCAATATAATGAAATACTATTTAAAATATATCTAAGAGGTATTTACTGTTTTCACTTAAATAGATGACATATTGACATAGGTACTAGACTAACTTATACGTAATAGACATCATAGAAGTGCAGGGATATTGGTTACGATTATTGAAATTTTAGATTTTCAATTAAAAATCGTTGATGTAATAATATCACCTAGTGGCGGGGTGATACATTTTATACGGATTGGTGGCGGGGCGATAAAAATTTAAGTAAGTTAGACACTGCAGGCATACGTTTATCTATTAATTATTAATTATTCTAATATTGTATCACAGTGACGAAATATATTCAATGAAATAAAATATAAAAGTTCAAAGTTATAGTATAAATGCGTTATGTTTAGACTGATGGCTGATATAAAACTGATTATTGATTCATACTTGTATGCATGTCAAAAAATAAAACTCAAGTTTCAATGAGGTTTGAATTGTAAAGTGAAAATTTAAAATATAAAGAAAAATTGTAAATATTTGTAAGTATAGTTAATTAAATTAACAGTAAATAGTGAAAATATAATATTTAACCTATATGGCTAAATAATAAATAAAAATGTTTTTCACTTTGGCGAAGCAGCCAAGTGGAGGGGAAGGGGGACTTAACAAACGTCCCGAGGTATACCTATTTGATCGTTTAAATTAAACACGAGTTGAGTGCTTGAGATCGTGCAGCAATAATTTTAGTGTATACCATTTTGAGTAAAAAAAAAAAATCAAACTAATTATTGGTATAAATATTAAGAAAATAAGACATACTTTAATAGTTTAATGATAATTTTAATATTTTTTACTCCCAACCTGAATAATCAGAGTAATAAAAAATCTAAATGTTCGGAAGACTTTCAAATCAACTTCCACGTGGTGTCTATATTGGCCAACGCTTAAAGGTTGAACTCGAGTTTTCCTATGGGCCTGGACCTAACTCACTTAGGTACCTACTCGAAAAATACATAGGATCCAACTCATCTATTATTGGAATTTGGATTTTGGTACTCAACTCGAGATAATTTCTTTTAGTACCTAGTACTAGTAAATACTAAATACATAGGTACCTACATTGGCTACGTTACGTTAACGTTATTTGAATCGTCACTATTCACTATAGCTAGGTACGTAAATAATTATGATTATATTTGCTTGTAATATATAATCGTTATTTTTAACGTATAATTTGGTAGGCAGGTAGCGACGTTATAATTTTTGTTATATTTGACTCTGTGTGATTTCTTCTTTCGAAAAGATTTTTAACTTAAACTCACCAAAATTAACGAAAAATAATGTTAACTTGTTATGATTATCTACATTTGTTTTAACAGGTGTTTGATCAATATTGAATTTTAAATTTTAATGGATAAAAATTTGATTGACCGGCCCCTCTCCATGACTGTTCTCACAGACGTCACCGATGTAAAACGACAATACACGAAGTCCATTTCAATGCGGCCTGTATCAGCAAGTTTACCTGTTGCCGTCGTTATCACAGCAATTGCCACTTTCCTAGGAGGTGTTCACGGTGTATGACGTCTCCCGGTGTTGTTGTGAGTCTGTCTTTTGAGTTTTCTTTAAAAATTTTTTTTCAATATTTACGTTTATTGCTCTCTAGACCTTACTCGTCCACTGAATTCTTGTTTTATATTTGTTCACAGGATAACCGAAACATATAAGTTACATACAAGTGTTGTCCGTACATCGTCATCAGAAAACATGATCCGGTCCAACATGTTAAAAGTAATAATCGAATTAATTAAATAATATTAAAATATGTATTACATTCCAATGAAACTTGTCTGTGGATATAAAAACCCTTCTTGTCTAGACGTCTAGTAGGTTTACTGTAATGAGTGGTGGTTATTGATAATATGCATGATGTATCTATCTGTTCTTATTTCAAATATTACATAATATACAAATTATTAATTTTTTAAATTTTTTTGTTTTATGTAATTTAATCATTGAGTGGGTAAACATGTAATGAATACAAACTGGAATTGACTTGTAGCATCTGTTGTTGATTTCTTCTTGATTGGTAGCTTAAGTAATTGTAACTTGTCATATAATTTTATCAGTTCTTAAAAAAATATTTCTATCTTAAATTACTTAAATAGGTAATTAATATTTTTATAGATAAGTCAGTTAGTATTTTTTTTTTTA